ATTTTTATCGTTGTCACACACAAAGACGAAAAATCCAAATTAACATAGAAATTAAGAGCAGACTGGTTTGTGTGTCTTTTATAGGGTTTCTTTCATGTCAATGTTCCTTGAACTCTGTAGAGTTGAATGTTCAAGCTAATACAATGGAGAGGTAGGGAAGAATGAAACTGTGGCCAAAAAACCATGAAATTGATGAAGTGCAAATTCAACATTTGTTTTGCGCAAAAATTGGAACAAATCCGGTGAATGAATTTGAATGAGCGAAAGAAAGAAAACTGTTGCAGCGCGGAAATTTAATGTGACCAACCAGGGCTATTGTTTGCAAAAGTTACACATTACGTGTGGTGGTGGTGGCACTGTTTCACTCTAGCCCACCGTTTGAACTAATGCGATTAGGAGGCCATGTCCCAAATTTTGGCGCTAAGCATGAATATGTACGCTCTGATTTATTCGCTGCAGAATCATAGTTACGATCGGACGAAACGAAATGTTCAAGTCGTTCATTGCTCGCACACTGCACATCCATACATTGAATCATCCGTTCCTCAACCGCTGAAAGAGATGCGCACAAAAAAAGCAAAACTGAAACGAAAGGACAACAATAAACGGCGAAATGCGATCTGTTGCAGCGGTCGTACAGAATGCGACAAACAAACGAATAAAAAGAAATAACCATGTAATAACCCATAATTCAATCTAGCGAATTCAGTCATTGGCCGAGCTGCTACTGCTGGGTCAACGATCTAATATTAAAGATTTTTTTTCTTTACTTTTTTTCTGTTGTCTTGTTCTTTTCGCGCTCTTCCTTGAAAATGTTTGCCTTTGATGCCTGCTTTGCTTTTGCACACAACAAACGCACACATCTCTCATTCGCAATCATCATTCGGTGTAATTGCCACCATTGGGGCTGAGTTTTGGTTTGCCGAAAGCTTTTGCGATTCAAAGCCACAAACAAATGACACAAACTGAATTAAAGGCGGGCGGGCGGGTGTGTGTGTGTGTGTGTGTCAGAAGGAAGAGAGAGTGCGAAATAATTAAATTAACATATTATTAATCGGTGAATGAAAACAACACGAGCCTCGAGCTATGAAGTGATTAGTTTGTGCCAACAGTTAAATTCCATCAAGGAAGTTGTGCGCGTGAATTCTGCACACAATCATCGATTGGCTGTCTGTTTGAGCATTTAGCTATCAAACGAATGTGAATTGTCGCGGAGAAATAGGAAATTCGTGGGGCCATTCATGCAAGGGGACAATTCAATTTTCGATTTCAAGCCATGATTTTTTTCTATTTTCTGTCGATTCTGGTGCGAACAAACGGATGAACGACAGAGCGAAAAAAAATGGAGAAAACAACAATTCAAATGTTGGTTGACTCGTATCGAACGGCTCCAAAATTATAATGATGAACAAGGAAAAAAAAGCAGCAACAACAACAAAAATATTTATACGCATATATACAGAGAACCAGAGAGACGTACCCAGAAAAGAGCAGGTGGCAAAAAGATTGCTCCGAAAGCATTGTTTATTAACTTAACGGTAAGGTCAACACAAGACGAAGCAGCAGAAGTAGAGGAAAAAAAATTGTAACATTCAAAAGAAAATCCATGGTGTATCGGCTGACGATGAATTGTATATTGAGTTGTGCTGCATACTGTATTGATATTGGGATAAAAAATGCGTTTTCGTTCTGTGTTGCAGGAATTCGAACATATATTTTTCTGTATATATACGAACATATACTGCATATAGGAGTATGTGTATGAGACATATATATATATATATATATATATATATATTTATATATTGTACAAGCCTGACTCCAGCGAATGCTGTGTGCCGGTTCGATTCAGCTTCGCATAGAGTGTGCAGATGAAAATGGTTTTTCGTTTCGATATTTCAACTTTGTAAGAGTCGAATGAGTGAGACGAGAGAGTGATTAAGTTTCCTCTTTTCTTGGGTATTTTTTTCCTCTCCTCTCTGCCTTTTTTCGTTTTTTTGCTCACTACGTTTACAGAAGAACAAATTCATAAATAACACCGAAGTTCTCTCTCTCTCCCTCGCTTGGTGCTCTCATGTTTCTTCGTCTCGTGCTCTTTTCCTTCTTAGTTTTTTTTTTCATCTGCTCTTTGTGTATTGGTAAACAGAGTTTGCATATATAGACAACTCACATTGATTTTCAACACCAGCCGAAATACAATTTTCATTCCTGCCTTCACCGGATACACGTTTTGCTTTTTGACTTGTATGAATTACGCTTGACAAATCATTTTTAACTGGGTCGTATATTGAATGCAATGTGCGATGCACTTGAAATAAAATTCTTCACTTGAACGAAGACAGAATAAAATATTTTTCCTCCATCATCTTCTTATTCTTGTCCCACTGTTTTATTTTCCGCGCGCGACGGCATCACAGCCTCTTTTCCAAGTACAAGCCAGTTTATGGTGTGCAAGAATGAAAATGAAATGCTTGCTCTTGATATCCTTAACGATTTTTATTTTAAAAACAAGAGACGAGAATAAAAAACAGTAACAACAGAGAACATATTCGAAAAGTCGCCGACGATTGAGCATCAACTAATGTGTCATACTCGAACGATGGAACATATAGTTGAAAGAAAAAACACCGTAAATTGGTTTTTGAATCGAAAAATGCGAGAAATTTCATGGAACAACATTTCAATTGCTGATAAATTTATCGCATATTTGTTCGCCTCTGTCTATTCCTCTTTTCATGCATATGCAGAAATGAATAACTAATATTGTATTGTCGTCGGCAAACGTTATATTTTTCTTTCATTGTTGTTATTGTTTTCTTTTTCACTTCGTTCAGCTCGCTTTTTTCGGCTAAGAATCCACAAATTAACAGAGAGTGAATAAAGAACTCATAATTTATCATGGAATTTAATTTCTTTTTCAACAATTGCTTCAGTTTTTGTTTCGGTGTTCCATTTCATTTCGTTGGTTTGTCTTTCTTTCGAAACATCGCTCAAATTCACTATGCATGTATAATATGCTTGTAAAGCGTAAAACATTCGATTCAATGTATCATTGAAATGGTTGCCAGTTTTTCATTGAGTTCAGCATCCGAATATGTCAACGGCATCACCGATCATCATCATCGTTGTCATCATCAAATCTTCTCTCGTATACAAAAATTCTACGCAAGCGTCGATATCACGATAAAAAATAAAACGTTCCCGTACATTTGTAACAATAAGATGAACCAAAAGACTTTCTGCAAACGAACTATGTATTGCATACGTTGAATCCTTTTCATTCTATTTCGTTTTTTTTTTCCAACACGGGAGAATGGTTTTTCTGTGTTTCGGCTTGGAAAACCGAATTTCACGATTGATAGCATCAATATTTTGATTTGTTTGATTCATTTTAGCCATTTCAACCCCTGTTATCATCATTATTTGATAAGGCCATTGGATTCGATCATCATGGGCATCGGTTTATGTTTTTTTTTCAACCACGTCAAACTATTTTCCTTTCTGTTGTTTTGGTTTCAATTTCATTTGTAATTGGCATTTTCTTTCGTTTTCTATTTTCATTCTATTATTTCGTTCTTAACCAGTTTTCCGATTACAGAACGTTTTGTTTGTTTTTTTTTTTCATTGTTATTGTGTGATTTTTTAAAAGCACATACATCAGACGAATGTTTCTTGTTTGTTTTCGCTCTCTTTTTGCAAAATATAATTAGAAGAGAGAAATGTTTTATTTTTGCATCACTTTGTTTTTATTTCATTTAAGAATGATTTTGACTTGTGCCGAGTGTATTTTTTTTCTGTTCTGTGTTCTGGTCGTCGCCGACTCGAAAAAACTTTTGCATAAACTCAATCGTCCCGTTCGTATTTATATTGTGCAGCATTTGATTTTGTTTTCGTTTGAGTTATCTAGAATAGATTTATTATTCTTCGTTTGTTTTTTTTTTGTTGTTGTTGTTTGCTTTCTGTTGGCTCATTTCTCAGACTCATTTATGTTGTGTGCAATTTTATTTTTGCATCTTTTTCATTCTTAGTTACTGGATTTTTATTTACTTTTTCTCTGCATTTGTTCTATTTTCTCGATTCTTTTTTTTTACTTTTTTTCCATTGTATATATATCATTTGAAATGCATCGTTTTGACTGTATACATCCAGTATTGTTACAAACTATATCTCGCTCTCAGTGTGTTTTTTTTATATTTGTAGCAAAACTCAGACTCACATACGCTCACTTCATTTTAAAAATTCTCAATAAATTCACGCCACTGGATTTTAAAATTCGGTTGTTTTGAATGCACCAGAGTTAAAAATTTTGCAATTTGTACTCACCAGGTTGTTTATTTGCGATTTTATTGAAACAATTTTGAAAAACTTCATAAAGAGCCATTGGTTCATCGTCACTGGTCGCCATTTTGAAATAAAACTAAAAATATTACAATAAATAATACACAGCGTAGCTCTCACACAGTGTGTGTATATATTCTCTCTTCTTCTCCTTTGTATAAAAGCCCACTGCCACTTTTAATCAGCGCCAATTTCAAACTGTTGTGAATGAGTCAAAGTATTTTCTAGTCTGGATCGAAAATGCACTGGTTCGTAGCGCGCTCGCGTACGCTTGTATTGGTGAATCGTATGGGTATACAGTTTCTAAATGATTACAGCGCATACACACAACGCACACAGCTAATGCCGTCCCCCTTTGTATCGCATGCCATCTCACTTTGCCACCACACACGCATTTTATGGCATCCGCAACGGCGAACTTTTATGGCAATGTGTCAGTATTGCCATAAAAATATTGGAAATAGTTTTTGAAAAGAAAATCGATCCGAAATCGCCTGAATGAGTTATCCCTGGGTCATTTTCATTAAAATATTAAATGTGTTTCAATTGTTTGATCAATAATTTGTGGTTTTTAATGCGGTTTCTCCTCGTCGCTCGTGCCAAATCGAAATTATGGCAATTTAAGAATTCACATGAAGTTGTCATCTTATGTGTGTAACAATAAACACACAGCGATATGTCAAATATGAAAGCCGCTTGACATTTACACTAAATGTTTGTCTTTGGTGTTCTATGTGTACACTACATTCAGTTTCACTGGGTATCAATCAGAATCGTCTTTAAAGTAAAGCAACGACATAAAGAAAGGAAAAAATATTCAACAATATTTTTGTTTTTGGTGATCTCGTTCCGTTCCGGTGTATCAAACACATTTCGCGTGTGTGTTGTGACTGAATGAAGTGTTGACGAATTGTTGGTTTGCCGCAAACTTTTCGTGAAAAGTGGATATGTCAATTGTTTCATGCATATTTCAAAGTCATAATTAAATACACATTCATGATGGAAATGCTATATGCCGTTCACAAGAAACCCGGCAGTTTGAATAATCAATTAATACTTGACTCGTAAGTATAATGCAACTCGATATTCCGATTGGACTGAATGGGAGGGTTATTGATTTTTGTGTGTATTACCATTTGAAGATATCTGAACAACAATCGAAAGCCGACATTATGCACTGTATCCACGCGAAATGTAATCGCCTACACAACCGATTCTGATATTAACGAACCCGACGGTAATCACCTGAGTGGATTCTACGTTTACTTGGCCGATTTGAATACACCATGGCTATCTTACAAGTAAATAATGCATTGAATTGCCTACATTTTCTTCTTATTATTCTTCTTCATGGAAACATTGCTTATTTTACTTTCGTATGCGCACAGAGTGACGACAAACAAATTTCCGATATCGATTTTGATTTGGGATATTCTGGGAAAATATCTGTTAGTTGGCGACATATCTGGGAACATTCAGATATTCGTTCAAAAAGATAATCTGCTGTCGGAGTGGATCCAGTACTATCATGTTCGTTTACCGGGTGAACACATTATCAAAGCTGCATTCTTCCATAATGGCCGGAAACTGGTGCTTCAACCCGATAAAAAGGACATTACCAACTATATGGAAAAGTTTCAACGTGCCAAATTTTTGCCCAGCTGCCGTGGATTTGGTGGCGTTGCAGCTGATGGTGTTTTAGTTGTGACCGCAACGGGTTTGTTGGGAGCTGTTTTGATACCACCCGATTTACCAAATCTAAATAAACTAGCCAATAGCCTTAGCCCACCAACTCTACCTCAAGTCCTGACACCGGTCACCCAGAGTCTGGGTCGAACCAGAAGTTTCATCACCATCGCCGATATTTGTTATTCAAAAAGTAAGTCAAAGATGTTTATACCGACATTTTGTCCGCTAAACCGACAGAGAAATCAACTGCAAAGTGATACAAATTTCAATTTTAAACGAATTTAATTTTCGTTTTCATCATTTCAGCTGGCCATTTCATGATAGCCGTTGCGAATGGAACAACCGAAAACGCGGCATCCACCATGGTCCACTGTTATCGGGTGTCAGTAAAAAAACAAATGGATAATTTGACGCTGACAAGTCAAAGTTTACCCAGCTTTTTCCTCACGGGCGGCGCAGCTAGAGATATTCCAGGTGCAAAATGTTCACAAACATTCATTGCAATTCAAATTGTTGACTAAACATTTCTTTTGTGCATTTTTGTAGACATTTCGGTGACCCATTTAAGATGGATATACAGTGAGGATTCTGATTCGTTGTTGGTGGGAACAAAAACACCAACCGGCTGTTTCATCGAATTATGGGGGCTGATGGAAAAAGCAACACCCATCCATTCGAATTTCGTTAAACATTTATTCCAGCAACCAAACAAAACCGAAGTTTTCAAAACATTTGTAAGTAATTTAATTCCAATTTTGCTTGAAATTCTCGGCTTCAAAATCAAATACCGTTGATAACAACAAAATTATTGACTAAACAATCAATGTAGGTTTGGACTCATCAAGTAAACTATCGTTACGCTAGCCGCATTATTGATATTTGCGCATCAAAGTTCCAGTACGGATCATCATCGTATATATTTGTGTCAATGGCGGATAATACGATTCATTGCTTGCACAGAGACACATTGAAACGGGTAAGAAGAAAATTCGCTGTGAAAATACAAAATCCATGTACAAATCGCGTGAATTATTTAAATGTTTTGTTTTTCTTTTCTCCATCGCCTCCCTCCATCGCCTCTCCCCACATCCCCGTTTCGAATCCCAGTTAACGAATGCATCGCTCACATGCGTGTGGCGGAACGAAAACGACCACGTATCAAAGCAAACGAAAATAGACAGTACAATTGTTGCACACGATATCACCTGGATGGGACATTTGTTGCTGGCCGTCGATGCTGAAGGTCAATTGTATGCTTATCGTGTTTCATACCCACACCAAGAACAAGCCGGCGGTCAATTATCCATAAATTATGCGGTTTCATTGTTGGAATATTGTTTGGTTGGCGGTTTCGATGCGCTCGATGTATTTCTCATACTTAAAGTACAGCAACTCGATAATATTATTGATCGTTTGACGGAAAATTTTACGCGTCAACCGGCATTCGTGCAACAGTACTTTTATGTGAATTTCTTTGCAATGAAAATGAATTTGTATCGTTTGTCGGTGCCGGGGCTACCGAAAGCACATGATTTGACCTGCTTTTTAATGCTACACTCCATTTTAATCGGTTTCAAGAGTTTGCTACGACCGTCGGTGTTGTCGAGCCACGACAAAGGGCCGGCCGAGAATTTAGCAAGTAAATATGCATTTTCTGAATGATAACCGAAAAGAAAATTCAAATTCAATGTTAAATTCGTTGTTATTTATTTGAAATTGCAGTGGTACTCTCAGAATCCGTTCCGGCTGATATTGATCGGCTGCTGTTGGGTCTAGAGGTCAAAGAATTCTCGGTAGAGGCATCAACACTCCAAAGTTTACAACAGCTCATTCAATGGGTAGCTGATTTAGCGTTAAATATTCTAGCAAAACTGCCAGATAGCCGCGGAATGAGTGGAATGAATCGCAGCACTGGTGTATGTGTCTCCAAAATCATACTCAATTTATTAACCATGGGAAAAATGGCGGATAATTGATTTTAATTCTATTTGCTTTCAGTATGACATTAGCAAAGATATCGTGGCATTGAACAGTATTCGAGAGTTATTGGTTGTGATGCGCATGTGGGGACTAGTTCGATCACAATGCTTGCCGGTATTTTCACGTTCCGCGGAAAATATGGATGTTTTGGCCACTTTGTACAAATTATTAACACGTTTAACTTTGAATCCCAACGAACCGGATGAATTGCTGCTCGGTTAGTATTTGCATCAATTTGCACGCAAGAAATCGCTAGAATCTCAATATTTCGCCAATTTTTCCTATTTTCAGACGAATGCTGCTTATTGCCGAGTCAAGTGTTGATTCCACAACTTCAGCTCATCTCACCTCAGTACTGTATAGCGTCTCCAATCATGTTTTACCTGACGAATAATAATCTTCCTCTACGTGTAAGTCAATGTTGGGAACGTCCTAGCAGCACACTATTAATTTCAATCATTTTATTTCAGTTTGAATACAATACGGAACCACAATGTTTGAAATTGAACAACGAATGTGCTCCCATCGAAGGAAGCATGTCTGAGAACATTGTTGACTCGATTCGCCATATTCAACTAGGTAAAAAACCGGGCGCCGTTCGACGATGCACACGATGCGGTGCATACAGTAGTTTAAATAGTGTGGCCAGGACTCCTGCAATGCGGTCATGGGAGCTACGTTGGTCCAGTGGCTGCCGATGTGGCGGATTCTGGCGTCTGTATGTTAGTTAAGCCAATGTTTCACTTTAAGAAATTATACATAGTTTAATCATGTTGAGTCTATCATTCTTTTGACGAAAAATTTATTTTATTTTGGTAAATAAAAAAATCACGAATTCATCGATTTAAAGTATTTCTTTTGTATAATAAGAAGTGAAGGTCATGTTTTTGAATGTTGACGCTGTAATTCAAATGGAAAACAATGATTTTGAATATTTTTTCACGTGCAATGTGCTGCAACTGTCGTTCTTTTTAAATTTCAGTGTGTTCTATGTTGGTTGACATTCTTTCATTTTCTAAGCATTTTGGAGCATTGACATTGTTGAACATTCTTCTCAAAAATGCAGTCCATGCTGCCAGGCCGAGAGATACACTTTGAATTCTGATGATGACATACCTAATTCGTCAGTTAGGCCTGAGAATTTCGCGTTCACGTGAATCGACTGAATGCATTTTGTATTCTGGCATAATATTCATCCTTCGATTCACAAATTATTCTCGATTCAGAGAAAAGACAGAGAACATTTCAAAGAAAAAGTATCCCCTTCCAGTTTCATCCATAGAATAAAAGCATTGAAAACCAATTTAGAATATTCATTGATAATCATATTTGTTATTATTCATAAATCAACGTTACAGGATGTAATAATACAAAGAAAGTGTTTCTCTTAATTTACGACAGTCATTACATTTTTGGGACTGTATAAATGCCTTTAATAATAAGTTTTTTTTTCCCATAAAAATAGTTGATTAATCAGCTTCGGTGTTTTACTCGGAATTTATCTAAACTGCAATGGAGATATTCTTAAACCGACTACATCTTTGCCGACTTCGGCTACCTCGCACACGTTACATAGCGTTCCTTTGAATTGTGGTTGATACGATGCGCCGCACAACGGGCACTTCTCTTCTGGTTTGCCTTTGTAAATGGGTTTGAATGTGTTGGCACACAAACTGAATGGATTGTGTTCATCGTATTCGAGTGAATGTTCGTCGGCGAGGTTCAATTCACAAGCTTGCAAAATTTTACGTGCCTGTTGCGAAACTTCGGGTCTTGGGCCAAGTTCAAGTAGTCGTCTGGCAAATGAGGCGGCAGTTTTGAAGTTTTTCAACTTGAAGAACATATTCAAAGCGGTACGTAGCGTAAGGATTTGATGGACCGGTTGTAGATTGCAGTGTGAAAAGTAGGCGGCCAATTCGCAATGACGCTTCTTATCTTCGAGTGTGGCGTTTGGCAAACCTTTACGATTTGTCTCCATTTTTATACCGACCACATACTCACGGCAGATGCTCAACAGCTGTTGTGCTTCGGCAATCTCTTGGCGATTTTCAACCACAAGCAATGGAATCGAAACTAAGATTGACTGCAATTTCGCAACTGCTTCGCTGAATTTTCCAGCTGTTGTCAATTGATAACATGCTTGCAATCGTTGAATTAGATCGTTTAGTTTTATATAGACGGTTGGGTGTGCTTTTTTGATGTTTGCCTCTTTCCAGTTACGCTGTGGATGACCGAACAATGGTTCTAAGCTCGGCAACGCTGAATATGATGTGCGTGCTCCGATGAAAAATTGTTGGAACAGTTCTTTGAATGGCTCGAATTGAACAACTCCAACTTGATCGTTTAGCAAACGGACGGCTGATTCAAAGGAGCCAGCTCGCAAGTGATCGGCAACCAAATTGGTGTTGTTTGCCCAGTATTGAGTGTGAGTTGGTCCGCGATTTGGTACTTCATAGTTTCCATCATTGCTAATGCTAACCGAAGCCATTTTTGCGGCAATTTCTTCTGGGATATCCAGATCTTCGTCGCCAACATCCCAACCAGGTCCTTCATTGTCGCCTTCTAGTGTTTCGAGAGCATCTTTCATATCATCATCGTCGTCGTCATCACCCAAGCCAATGTCGGCATCAGCGCCCCAGCCATCACCGGCACCTTCATCGATCGTTGTATCAGCTGCGGCCAATGCTTGGTGTACACTTTGAGCTCCACGCGAAAGCATTGCTCCTGTAAAAATATCAAGCAAATATTCGGTCAGTATTTTGATTGTTCAACCATTTTTTTTTTTTTTCAAAAGAAAAAATGAGTGAAAACACGGGAAATTACCTTCGAAGAAACCTCGTGTAACAGTCAACAGTGGCCAGTTGCTTTCGGCCTGCTGCGCTGGAAGTGGTGGATTCAATAGAATAGCATTTGGATTTGCTTCTGGCAAAGCCTTTCCATCGGCTGTAATCACATCTCCCAACTCCTTAGCTTCCTCTTCATAACCATACGTAGCGGCTGTTAAATAGGCCAATGAATTTTGTCCGCAATTTTTCAAAATTTGAATGCGCTCCTTGACATCGCCCAACAGCAAAGCACCTTGATATTGAGCCGACACATCTTTGCGGATTTCGGCGATTTTGTTCATCTTCTTCAATTTGTCCAGATTGCCGGTGATCAAGTACAAGAAGGAGAGTTTGTCAAAGTTTTTGGTGCGTTGGTAACTCATTTCGACGACTTGATGGTTGCCCTGCATGAGTGCAGCTTGACCCAAGCGATCCCAGCTCTCTTTGTCGTCCAAAGATTTGGCTGCTTCCAAGGCCACTTCGATATTACCACACTCCAATGCCAAACTGAACCGTGTCTTTTCATCTTTCACGAAATGTAAAGCCACTTCCGGATAGCCCTTTTGCTGTAGATAAGCAATAATACTCTGACCGACCAAACGTGCATTGCGCACCATGTGTAACACCTCTTCGTATTTGCGATTGATCAAGGCCAATTTGAATTTGAATTCAGTTGGATCGATGTTCAGTACACGAGTGCGGCATTCACGATCCAAACAGAACACTTCGGTTCCCTTGACGCGTGTTATATAGATCGGAAGATCGAGAGTACGAATGATACCGTGGTCACCGTTTGTGATCGCATATTTGATATGGTTGCTCGTTGTGTAAATGAAAACACCGGAATCGTCCCATGCACCAGATTTTACGCGTGTATTCTCGTGGATCGAGCACAACAAATCCATGTTCCGACTGCAAATGGTGACGGTGTGCTTGGCCAACAGAGCAACATGTGACATATCTGATGACCACACAACATAACGACACTTGGAAATTTTTACGGTGGCAATTACACGAAGCTGTTGAACGTCGAACAATGTCACCGAGTCGGCATCCTTCAACAGCAACATACCAGTACCGGCATAGAAAATATCCTCGCACTGTGACATGCACTTTTTGGTGACTTCATTTTTGAAATTCTTCACCACCAATTGGTTGTTCCGATCAAGTACGGCAAAGCGATTGCGTGCCACCCACAAAGCAGTAATACCCGATGAACGTTTGCTTTCGGTTTCGGTGTGTTGGTTCGAATCGGAGTCTTTTGGTGGAATGGTGTACAGGTCATAGGTGCTATTTTCAAGGTTTGGTGTGCGTGTACAAATGAGAATTGCATTCAAGGCTGGATTATAGGACATACTGTGGACCGGTGACTTTGAACCGCCGCGCAATTGCATCACCACCGATTGATTTGTGGTGGTAAAGTCCAATTTTCGCAAGAATCGATCTTTTACATAATACAAAATATTGCCATGCACGGCGTACGCTGGACGCTCACGTTCCAGTTTGAAAACGATCATACCTGAAATGAGATGGAACGAATGGAAAAAAATTTTCATTTAAAAAAAGAAATGAGAAAAAATTGGTCAATGTTGTGAAATGGACATTTAAAACTCACCAGCATCATGACCAGCGGCAAACAGATTCAATGTTGGATGGGCGGTGAGAATCCAGTAGCGTTCGTTTTCACGTCGGAATGTGTGCAAGCACTGACGTTTCGTCATATCCCAAACGCGAATACTACGATCCTCGCTGTTTGATATCACAAGCTCTTGACGTGGATGGAACAAAACACTGGACACATTATTGTAATGGCCACGGAATGTGTCGACTTCCCAAGCTTTGTATTCGTTCATGCGCCAAAGTTTGATTTGTCGATCATCGGCGCCGGACACAATGAGCGGCAACGATGGATGGAAGCTTGCCCAATTGACACCACGATCATGGCCTTCCAAAACATGCTTAACGGCTGCATCAGCAACACCAAACAGATCTGTAGCGCCTTGTAATTTTGGCAAATCATCAAGGCCACCCGGTCCCGGTGCTACATTCTTCTTACGCAAACCTAAATCATAACCCATTGATAAATGATTAAGTAAAAAGAAATTGTTTGCATTTTGCTTTGGAACAATTAACATTGAACTACTGATGATTGAAAGCCAAATATGTTGTTGTTGTTTTCAAGGCTTCGTGATGGTATACCTTAGCACGCCGTATATTTAATGCTCGGCATAATATGCCAGCATATCGCACATACACAGCTGCCGCACACACTTCTTTCGTGCGCAAACGGTTGCCTACACAGCAGATTTTGTATATAAGTTGGTTACGATGGCTGTGTCCGCAACCGTTTGCGCACGAGAGAAGTGTGTGCGGCAGCTGTGTGTGTGCGATATGCTGGCAGATTATGCCGAGCATTAAATATACGGCGTGCTAAGGTATACTATCACCAAGCCTTGTTGTTTCCCATAATAGAAAAAAAAACCAAAGAAAAACAAACTGCATTGCGGTCCCCACTAATGATTATTAGCCGCTTTAACTTGAATTTTTCTTCATGCAGTTAATTTTTGTCAATTTTGATAATGAAGGCTGATGAATTTATTCCAAAACAAAACAACAAAAATAAACCAACAGCAACATGAAAACACAAATATGCTAAGATGCTGGAAGATAGAGGTATAAGAACCAAATTTGAACCATTTATTTATGAAAGCGTGTTAGGAAATTTCAAATTTTATGCCAAACCACATTTATGTCAACTTAGCCAGTACAAAAGGTATTTCCACCCGAAAGAAATTGTTTTTTTTTGTTGAATGAAAATTTCATCATTTCCAAATTTTCACAAAAGAAGAAATAGAAATAACACCGCTTTCGTGCTCTTTGTAACCGAATACCACCCCATTTATTTCTTTGCGTCCATTTTTCTTTATTCGCTTTTGAATATTGGATTCCTTGGTCGCATATCATAGATATGGTTTTAGTTTTGTCCTATGTACATGTAAATGAATAAGTTATGTTAACAAGAATGAGCATGGCCATTACAAAAAGAATACAAAAGAATCGAAATGTCCATATCAGCTCAAACAAATGCTTACAAATTAAAGAAAAATTGGGGAGAAGAAAGCGCATCGAGAATTAGACTAAAACAGGAAATGATATGCAGGTTGTATCGGAATTCTCTTTCGTGTTGAAAAAGAGAATGCTTTTTTGTTTGTGTGTGTGTGTGTGTGTTTGTTGTGATCGTTCGAATTTGGTCCTACCTTTCATTCCATCTCTATTCGCAATACCTGCGATATCCCACACTCTGACGGTTTGATCCAATGAGGCGGACACAATTTGATCTTCGACTGGATGGAACATTGCACACATTACATAGTGATTGTGGCCGGTCAACACTGAAATGCACGTTCTCGATTGCCAATTCCAAATACGAATCGTTTGATCATCTGAGGCGCTCAAAATCCACGGGTATTCATGATGGAAAAATGTTGTACGCACATAATCTAAATGACCAAGCAATGTGAAGATGCAACGACGTTTCTTGTAGTTCCAAAACTGTAACACGTACGCAAAGAACAAGCAAATTTGTGAGCATTTCATTTACAAACTATACGAATACGCATACAAGTATCTATCAAGAACAGCATCGGTTTGGTTTGTACTTACTTTGATTTTGAAATCATCACCGCCGGATACGAATAATGGTTGTTGATTGTGAAAACAAATGCCACGCACTGGCCCGTCGTGTTCGTCAAACTTTTCGAGCAACGTACACATACGATAGTCCCATAGCTGAATAACACCACTATGCAAACTGTGAATCAAATAAAAAATGCCCAACAATTTAGCGGGAATCCAATGTGAATGTCAACCAAAGGAATCTTCTGATGGCTTATTTATAATATTAGATTAAAAAAAATTTCTTACCTGGCCAAAATCCACGGTCTTTTCGAATGAAACGAAATGCCTTTGACACGGGCCGATTTTGATTCAAAGTTAACGAGCATGTCGCCGATTTGGATGCGATCTCGAAATTACAATTAGTTGATTCGTTCAACAAAAGATACTCGTAAATAAAACACACCGAACTATCAACATAAAATAAGCCAGTTGAACCGAATTTATTTCATTGATTTCACTTCTTCTTCACTGACACGTCACACAAACATACATCGGTAATAATGATAAAGTATTTCAAATGTCACAACACATCAATGAAGTACGTAGCACATCAATTTTACTCAAAAATACTCTTGATGATTTTGCGACGATGACGATATTCAAATACTTATCAAGTTTAAGTACAGACAGCGCAAACCTTTGAATTTTGAATGAAAATCATGATTTCTTTTTGTTGCAGATTTTTACAGTTTTATTGAACTTTTTTGGATAATTTTGAACATTTAGAGTGTTAATAAATTTATCTTATAGATAAACGACACTGATTTTCAATAACGAAAAAACTTCGTAAAGAAAAACAATTTCTGTTTAATTTGGTTTATTTCTTGAGGTTAATTGCTGAGATTTGGTTCCATCAAAGTGTGGTTTGATGTATGCTTTCTTCTGGAAGTAGTAGAGTAGAGTAGAGTAGTTAATGGAAATTTGATGGACGAGTTGACGAATAGTCTTCCTCGATTTGTGGACGTTGTACTTGTAGTATGGACAGCAAAGCCGCTAAGATCTTGAACAATAAGTTCATCACATCGCCCAGGAGATTGATTTGAACGGCCATGTTACTTTCGAATTATTCTCCAACAAAATGAAATTTTGGCTAGTCTTTTTCAAATTGTGACTAAAACTCACGTTGAATCACACTTTATGATGATTTTAATACAATTAATATCAATCTACTGACAATTACGGCTTTATAAACAAAATGGACATGTGCAGTGGAGCTATTTACGGCTGCATTGGAATGAGCGAGCGGGTGGGGAATTGATCACCTTGTCACCTTTAACATGATAATGAACTTTTTGATGCAATGAATAACGCAAAGCGTATCAAAGTGCTACGCATTTTTTGATAATCAAAGTGTACATAACAAGTGTTTGGGCCTACTCGGGTTCAAAGCCTAAAACAAGGCAAATAACAAGTACCATTTGATTATTGCGGAATTATGTAGTGACCATTTGATGGCGTTACATAACAAGCATTTTTGTTGAAACTGTGTGTCAGTCATAAAGAAGTAAAATCATAAAATTCAAAAAATGTTTACAACAAAATGTCCAAAGCGAAATCAAAGCAAAGCAATTTTATTCCATCGTTTCTGAGATTGTACATTTGAAACGGTTGGATAGAATAAACTAACAATAAATGCAGAACACAGATTTTCACTGTGCCGACAGCAATGCGTTAAAATAGTGAGCATAACTGTCAGAAAAAAAAACGTCCGAAAAAGGGATGTGCAATAGGTGTTATTTTTTTCTTCGTCTTAGTACACGGCCTAAATAAAAAACATACAAAAGCAATTGCATCGGAATTGTGGAACAGTATAGAAGCAATCGTTTGTCGAAAATATGCGAAAATATACGCAGCTATGTTTAGTTTTAATTACAATAATCAGTATCATTGTGTTGTTAATGTATCGCAATGAATACAAACAGCTGAAATATGTGTTGGATGTGGTCAATTTTATCGGTCGCAAGGACGAAATATCGTTGATCCATTTGGAGAATCAAACAAATTTCTACCAAGAGTCATCGTATCAATTCAATGAACCGATGCCGATATGGCAACGAATTGGCAATGGATTCCATGCGTACTCATCGTTTTGGATAAAACCGAATGATTTGAAAGCGGGCGGTGAATTGATAACAATTGTCGTGGGCCTGAAGCATTCGATTGTTAGCTTTAAGTGTGAGCTCGACTATGCCGACGGTAAAATACAAAAGGGAAAATTCGTGTTTGTTCGCGAAGACATTGTCGGCGACAATCCAAATGACACGAGCAACGGTGAAAATTTCATCGTATACAAGTTTGTGTGCAAAGTGAACAAGGATTTTGGCACACCAAAACAGGCCATTTTCACCGATCTCAATTCGAAATCGAAGCATCGATTACAAATACGCAATTTGAAGCAGAAAAACATCGAAGAATTGCTCACGATGACGGTGTGCGTGAATCTCGTGCCGAGAAATCAGAGTGAAATCAACCCATTTCTAACGGAATTCAATTTGTTGCAATTTTTCATTCATCATCAATTGATTGGCATCGATGAGTTTTTAGTGTATGATACATCGCTGATCAGCTCATCGCTACGGCAAACGCTATTTTCGCATGGCATCAAAATCAACACCTTTCCATACAATTTCCCATTTGATATTAGCCAATACACCAAAATACGTAAATTAATCGAAATGGACTGCTTGCTACGCACATCGAATTCCGTCAAGTATACGGCCGTACTTACGCCACGCGATTACATCTACACCAATGGGAATTTGATGGCAAAACCACATCCATTGCTGCAAATGCTGAAGAATCCATTGTATGGCACCGATGTTCAATTGGAAATACTTACGAACCCAATTTGCCGCCACAACATGAAAAAAATCCTCTCGGACAATTTGCTCATCAGCTCAAATACTAGCACCGAAACCAATAAGGTGTTTTTATTCAAAACCAATTACATTTTTAGTCGCAACAATAACGTTGCATCGAATGCGAATGCAGCCAGCGCACGTCTCAACAAAAACTTGATATTCAATAATCATTACGGTGATTGCGACGATAGACACAGTCAAAATGTTAACGATAATCCGGTCGAATGGCGATCGGTGATTTCAGCCGAATTTCGAGAGTTTATCGATCAGCTGGGCGTACATGTGAACGCTTTGCTACGAAACGAGCATTGAAGTCAATCCACTCATTTTTAGTCATTATTCTAATTTCATAAATCGCAATGATAACATTTCATTCTTTTGTAGAAATTTATGTGCTTTATCGAATGTAAGAAACTAATAAAGAAATAAATTAAAGACCATTTTGTTTTTTTTTTCGTCCATTAAAAGAATTGTATGCATTTGTTTCTGTTTTGTTTTGTTGTTATTGTTGTTTTATTCTTTTCGTAAAGATGTGACAAAATAACATTCGGCGTTGCAATAATTTTAAATATGAAGAATTTATCGTTGGAAATTCCTTTCAATTACGCACATCCACATGAAAACACGATTTACATAAACATATCTTCGAAGCCCGGAGGAGGTAAGTGGTCAGGCCGGGGATTCGGTCGATGTGGGTTATTAAATGGATCTATCGGTCCGAATGGATCAAATCGAGCGCCCGGTATGACACCTGCGATAGAAATTAAATTATGTACGTTAAACGGAGTCGAAACAACTCGTTTTGTTTTATTCCACGAAAATGCATTTCACTGTTCTGATTACATACCTGGAGGATTACGATCGGGACCTCGTGGTAATATGTTTGGTTGGTTTGGATTGTTGAATGGTGGATTGAATAACATACCGCCGCCACCACGGCCAAGTGGATCTAAGTCACCGCGACCAATGTCTCTGAGGGGATCAATTATTCTGCAACAGAACAAAATAAATTCAGCGGCAATGAGCCAATTTTGTATATAATTCAATTTCGATGCGATTGAAAGTAATTTGAGGTAAAATGGCATAAAAAGTGTACCTGGGTTGAACTCGCAGCACGTCAGGTGTTGTGTTTGGCAAAATGTCTGGGTCGGGAATCCCTCTGAGGCGCGGAGGCTCGGGCGTTGTTGTTTGTGTCTCTGACGATTTTGTATTACTGTCAAATGCAACAACCGGCTCCAGTAATTCACGTTTCAATCGACTCAACACATTTCGAACGTCTGGAACAAGTGTCAATAAGTTGCCTTGCAATGTCTTCACCGTGTCTTTGATATGAAGTGCTGTGTTTGTGACTTTTAGTGGTTCACCGTTCTGAAATTTAAGAAAAAATTTATTTTTTCCATTCCATCATTCCAATGCAAATGAATGCAATGCGCTGTCGGCTATGGTTTTTTCTTCTTATTTTGTCAATCCTTACCAGCAAATTCAAGATAATTGTGTCGTTTGCCACGGTGCCCAATAAAATGTAAACTTTCTGCTCGTGTACATATCTCAGCGCATATGCTGTACTGTTTTCATTCCAGTTTTCCGGCAATATTTCCGTACTGTTGCTTGCTTCGTTGTCTCGCAGGGTTTTCTGTGTAACATAAAAATTGGAATTGTCAATTTCGAATGGACAAATTACGCACTTTGTGAACAACAGCATTAGTTAATACGCAATTTTATTGCACTTGACACCATGCAATCGACTTTGTATATCATTTTCCACATTATGGTTTACATGATGGTAGTGGTCAGGTTAGCTATGATTCTTACCTCGTCTCCAGTACCTAAACACCGAAAACCTGCCTGATTTATTAAATACCAATGCGTAATGGCCACAATTATGTCCGTTTCGGTTTTTATATCCTTTTCGATATGCTTATACAATAGCTCCCATCCAACCATTTCGGTGACCGACATGTTTGTTTTTTTATGAAATTTTTTTTTTCACAATCTCTCGAATTCCCTGTACAATTTGTCTGTCTCTTCTTTTTCGAATAGTTCAACACTTTTGGTATGATTCAAAACAATGATATTTTCTTTTTGACACACCGATATATGGAATTTTTTTTTTCGAACAAAGAATCACACTGAAGTTGTCCGCTAATGAAATGTGCAATTTCACATACGCATCGATTCATTTATTCACTTCGCTCTAACGATTGTGTGCCGTAAAATCAATGTGAAAAATTTATTGAGACCATTTGCAATTCATCAGATAGAACAATAAACATTTTGGCATCAGAATGCTCAAGTAAATGTTCGTTCAGCAAATATTTTGGCAATTTTTCTCAACCAAATGTGACTCCATCGATAGGGCCATCTATCGGAATGATTTTTGAACTATTGAACAAGACGCCGTACATTTTTCATGTCTGTCACACACATGAGAATGAAATCCTCATCGTGAACGCGAGCAAGAGCAATTAGTAACAAGAGCCATAGTGTTTTTTTTCAAAACGGGAGGCAAGAGCAGTGTAGTAATCGACTGAAACGCCATTTTTGTCTGCTTTTCGTCGGTATACACATCGTAAAATTGATACATCGGAGACATAGGGAACAAGAGTGTAATTCTTTTTTTCGTTCTGTATTTTTTCTTTCTTTCAAAGTGAAAAAGTGCGAGCAAATCGTATGCCAATAAATTTTGCTTATTGGTGGTGAGTTTCGTTTATAATCCATTTTCTTTCAAAATATACATATTAATTTGTTGTAAATTTGGAAAATTACGTTTCAATGGTGTTTGTACGTAGAGCGAAACAAAAAAAAATTTGTGCTGGGCATGTCTCACCTTCAAACCAAAGCGGTAGCCATTTTATTTTGTATTATGGTGAAATATTGAGAATTTCTTTAAAAATTTCTTCATTTTTTCCCATTGATATTCTCATTGTTATTAATAAAATGAAATGAATAATTTTAAAATTGTGTTTGATTAGAAATAAACGCGAAAAAAATGAGTTGAATGTTTTTTTTTTAATGTATGCAAATGAGTGTGTAGTAGTTGCCTCGATAGAGAGAGAGAGAAAAAAAACCTCATACATTACTGAATGTGATTATTGGGCGCGTCATTGCCCCAGCATATTTCATGCGATTGTGAAATTCTTCCAAAAGAAACAAAAAAAAGCATAGAAAGTAAACGTGATTTTTTTTCGTTGCGAAATGAGTGTTGTTGTGTTGTGATATTGTATCCATGTGTTTAGGTGCAGTAGCGAATTTTGTTGGTCTGTTTCGTTTTAATTCGTGTGTTTCATTTCTTTTATGTTTTTCTCTCAGATTCGACTGTGAATCAATGTTTAACCTCCTGACTTCAGACGCAGCCAACGACAAATAACAAATCATATTACCATAATCTGTGCATTGTGTTTCCCCCATTCATCCCATCACAAATCAACCGAAAACACACATACACACACACCCCCAAACAAACAAATAAACAAAAAAGAAAATAAACAAACAAACGAAAAACCATCCAAAATATTAATAAACACTTGTACATTGTTTAGCTCATGAGTAGTATTCGGGAAGCGGCGGAAAGAGATCGCATCACTGTTAAAATTCATAATATGAAACGTAGCGCTTCGCGCGAATCACCATTACGAACGAAACGAGGTAGACCAGGAAGTATGGGACGATACGATGATAGTTCGGATGAACGTATGAGCCCTGATCGCTTACGGCGTCGTGTGGCGGCTCGTACACCAAGCCCACGTTTACGCTACATTTCACATTCACCCCATCGCGAAGAGTATGTACGGGCACCACGTGAACCGCCACATGAACGTAGCCATCCATACAAGGTGCTGTGCGTAAGTCCATTGCATCCGAAAGCAAGTGACGAATTTATCAAGGAAACATTGTTCCGTGAATACAAGAAATTTGGCGATTTTAGCATTCGCATTTCGCATGATCTTGAGGAACGGGTTGCATACGTTTGTTTCCGTACATCGGAAGATGCTAGAGAAGCAAAGCATGCTAAGCCCAGAATCGTTCTCTACGATAAAGTTGCGCTGGTAGAACCAGTCTATGAATCTCGTGCAAGCAAGTACGAGTACAGCAAGCGATCCATTTCACCGGAGTACGAGCGACCCTATTACGGTAATTGTTGACACTTGACTCATTGTAGATAGATTAGGTTTTGGCAAAGAACAAAACGTATGCCTTGCAATTTTGTTTTTGTTCGGTTTTAACAAAAATACGAATTTGTGTTTAGGCGCATCACCTGTGCCCGATCGTCGTCGTGTACCACCTGACATGTACGAGCGTTATGGTGGTCCACCACCACACGTGATGGGGCATCATCCAAGGGAATTCAGACCACCATTGCACCATGAATCAGGTAAATTACACACAGATATGCAAAATGCTTTGAAAGCAATCATCATGATGATGATGCTGTTCGAACAAAAAAAGTCGATACAATCAATTTTGTTGAAAAGTGTATGTGAATAGCTTCTAAATGGCCCTGAACTAATTTTTGAATGAATATTGTGTAGTTTATATGCCACGTGGACCGCCAATGCATCATGCTCATCCTCCACCTCATATGCATCATCCACCACATCCACATTATGTTCCACGGCATATCGTACCGCGTCACCCGATCCCCGAGAATAAAAAAGAAAACAAATTTCCGAATTATTTGCACCATGTTCAGCCAGAGGAAGATCCTTTGGCCACTCGAACTCTGTTTGCAGGAAATCTTGAAATCAATATTTCGGAGGAAGAGCTGCGCCGCATTTTCGGCAAGTATGGCGTTTTAGAGGATATCGATATAAAGCGTCCAGCTCCCGGTACAGGTAATGCATTTGCGTTCGTACGCTTCCAAAACTTGGATATGGCACATCGCGCCAAAGTCGAACTCTCCGGTCAATACATCGGAAAGTTCCAATGCAAAATTGGGTACGGCAAGGCAACGCCTACTACACGTATTTGGGTTGGTGGCTTAGGTTCATGGACATCGATTACACAGCTCGAACGTGAATTCGATCGTTTCGGTGTGATCAAGAAGATTGAGTATCAGAAGGGTGACACACAGGCATACATACTGTATGAATCGATTGAGGCCGCACAAGCAGCGGTCAAAGAGATGCGAGGTTTTACATTGGGTGGCCCAGATAGACGTTTGCGTATCGATTTCTCCGATCCAAATCCACCAACAGCACCGGCATTCAAACCGAAACCGCCCAGTGCCGGATACGATGAACAAGCCGATCACTATCGACGACCAGACTATGACTACCATGAGCCACATCATTATGACGAGAGTGGATACTATCCACCATACGTATCTAGAGGCGGTTATCGTGGTCGTGGACGCGGCAGAGGCAGCTATCGTGGTGCATATTCGGGTGAGTTGTGTTGTTATTAAATCAAATTTAGTTGAACATTTTCATGTTTTGTCGAGCAAAAAGTGAAAAAAAAACAAAATTCTTAATAAATGAACAGGACACGAAAATCATCGTCCACCACCAGAAGAGGAATGGAGGCGTTCAACATCTGAGGCTGACTACGAAAGTAGGCCACCACGCCATGCAATTTCAAGAGAACCAGGTGTGGAACGTTCACGTTCTCGTTCACCAGTTACGAGACGCCGCAGCCCAGACTCCGATTCAGATTCGTCGAGCCGACGCAATGGCATGCTAAGCGCCGCACGTACACTACCAGAAGTGGCCAGAAAATGTACCACATTGTGGAATGGTGCTTTGATCCTCAAGAGTTCACTATTCCCGGCTAAGTTCCACTTAACCGACGGTGACACTGACATTGTTGACGGTTTGATGAAAGATGAGGATGGCAAACCACATTTGCGTATCACGCAACGATTGCGTCTCGACCAGCCAAAATTGGAAGATGTTCAAAAGAGGATATCCACATCATCGTCGCATGCAATCTTCCTTGGTTTGGCTGGTTCAACACAATCCGTTCAAATTGATGATGCCAGCGTGCAAACCAGACCGCTACGCAATTTAGTGTCGTATCTCAAGCAAAAAGAAGCAGCCGGCGTCATTTCGCTGCTGAACAAAGAGACCGAGGCCACCGGCGTCTTGTACGCATTCCCGCCCTGTGACTTTTCATCTGAATTATTAAAACGAACGTGTCACAATATTACGGAAGATGGTTTGAAGGAAGACCATTTGGTGATTGTCGTAGTGCGTGGTGGTACTGCATAAAACCAGTACATACAACCAACAAACAAATTTCTTTTTTCCATTCTCAAAATATTAAACAAACAAACAAAAATACAATTCACTATGAATATCCATTTAAAATTAGGTGAGTGCATTCAATAGATAATCAAAAGTATTTAAAAACAAACATTTAATCCAACATTTTTCGTTGTGAAGTGACCATCTGATATTTTGAACCAAAAACAAAAATCAGCCTTTGGATTTGTTATATATTTGTGCTCTAGAGTGATGTTTTTTTTTTAGACAAATTGAACAGAAAACAAATTGATTCGACCGAAATATGCAAAATGAACATCATTTGTCCAGTAGTTGTGTTTTTATAATTGGTTCATTTCAATGGCGAATGTTCTTTTGATCGAAAGAAACAGAGAAAAAAAATACAGTATTTTCATTGTGATTTTTTTTTATATTTGAAGTTTTACAAATGCCAACCAGTCGAACAAGTTTTCACAAAAAAAAAACAATTCAATGACACCGAAAAGAAAAAAAAATCAAATGGCCATCATTTCGACTAATTGAATTCCGATCATTTTCTTTTTCCAACTTTTTTCAGATTTAAAATAGGACTACAGTGTAAATTGCAACAGAAAATCGAGTGAATCGGTTTGTGCGAGTGAGTGTTTTTGACGTGAAAAAAATAAAAAGTTATCGAGAACATAAAATACGCAATGTCTGAATATCGCAACGAGCAAACGTAAAAAAAGATAAAAATGAATCATTATGCGAATGATAAATTAGAATTTCAACGAGCCAGTTGGATGTGGTAGCGCAATGCACATGGAAAATTTGGTTTTAATTTTCTAATTCAATGCAAATATCGGCACTTGACACATTTAACTTAGATTTTATTAAAATCTTTTTAATTTTTCTTTTAATTTTCCACATTTGCACCATTTAAAATATGACACACGGTGGTTTAGTAGGAAGAATTAAAAAAAAAATACACAAACATTGATTACTCCTTGCCTTGGCTCATTTTAAATAATTGTGCGCCATGAATGCATTGCACTGCTGCGACCAACGCTCACAATAGTTAAGTTGATAATATTGATTGTTTAATGAAATATCGAAACAAAAAATGAATGTAATAGTGAATAACGAAGTTTCAGTTATACAAAATGAAAACAACCACAGCAACCCTTTATTTTACGCATGAAAATTAATAACAACAACAACAACAACAACAAAAAGATGAAAAGAAAAAAAACAAACAATGGAAGTTACAATATGATGTGCTCGCTTCTAAGATGTATATGATATATATGTTTCTGAGTATATTACAAATATAATGCGAATCAAAAAACGAAAAAAACAAAACCGAAAACAGATCATGGAAGAAAAAACACAACAAAAATAATTCGATGATGATGATGTTTCGTCAAAATTGTGAAAGTTTCAGTTCAGTTTTTCTGTAGTTTATCGTTTCTTATGGTTTGAACTAATGAACATCAACGTCAAAATGGTTTTGTCAAATTCGGCCGAATGTAACCGACAACACGACATATGAGAAAAAAAAGAAGAATATGTACACTTGAACAGTAATTTTGCCATGAAATTTTCGAGCTGATCTCTAGATCCATTGATCGATCGACCGACCGACCAAACGAACGAAGTTTGCGCACAAAACCAAACCCCGGGGTGACAGTAATGACCACTTTTTCCATGATGAAGTTTGTTCAAGTGAATTGTTTCCAAAAATGAAGAAAAAAAATGAACGTAAAATTTAACAGAAATTCAGTTCCGAAAATGAAGTTTGACAAGTTAGTTTTTGGTTTATTTGTTTTGTGCATGTGAGACGGAAAATTCCAAATGTTACCTACCTACCGATAAGAGAGTTTTTCCAACAAAAATTCGGTCTGTTCTGTGAAAATGAAACGACACACAAAATAAAAATGACAAATGAACATGTTGGGGAAAGAGATTTAACAAAGCGTCTTGATCGTTTTAATTTTTTTTTTTGGATGTAATTGACGTTTTCTGTCATATTGTGAATTTCCAGTGGTTCATCTTTATTAAGTTTTATTTTTTTATTTAGTGAAACGTTTCCAACAAAAATACACACACACGATTGACGTCTTCAACGTATCTCCACCCTTAAATTTGCAACAACAAAAAAATGAAGCAAAGTTCAGTTTTGTTTGTTTATTTCTTTCCCAACGCCATTAACGTCGCGTTGTCAACCAATAAAATCCTGTGCACGCGAGATCCGATTTGTCAAATACAGTTCATTTGCAATGCTATCGTTTATTTAGTTTTGGTTTCACATCCTATCTATTTTGGTTTTTCACTGCGCGATTATTTACGATCTCTTTGCCATGATGCACGTTTGCATTATAGCCAGGGGTGGGTTCAGTTTACATGCAAATTGTTCATAAATAAGTTCGGTTTGTGTCTGTTTCTCTCTATGTGTGTGCGTGTATGTGAAATGAAAATAGTTATTTCAGTACAATCATAGTCCAGTGTCGGTTGATAAACATCGATATCGAGATGAACAACAGTACGGTTTCTTTATTACAGTGACAATTGTTCAATCTTGCATGTTGATTTTAGTTTCGATTCTTTGGGTTTTTTTTTAATTTGATATCGTCCAAAACAATTGACAAGAAAATGTCGCATAGAAATTGAGAAGTTGTTTCAAGTGTGGCCGCTCCCTTTGCCAAAAAGGGAGCGCATAATTGTTCTCTTTCAAAAACACCGACTAATTACAATCATCATCGTGAAAACAGAAAATTCAACGAAACAGTGTGTTGTCGTGCCAATAAAGATGAAATTTATTCAATGTTGTTTTTTTTTCGTTTTACACATTTCGAATAACGATCATACGAAAGTAAAACATATAGTTTGATCACATTTTTCGATTGTATCGGAAAATTGATTTCGGTTCTTCAAAATATGAATTTAAATTTATCTTGCAAGATTCAATGAAAATCCAAGAAGAAGAAAAAAATGGTTCGGTTTAATGGATTATGGAACAAACGAAAAAAAAACGGGCGGTCAGTGAGCAAAATGAAATGATTTATGTGAATGATCAATAAAAGTTTTATTTTTATCGTTTTCCTTTTGTTCTTTTTATATTACGAATCTTGAGGGAGAGAGAGAAAAAAACAACCATATATAACTTTATGACCATTCAGCAAAAGCTTGCGAACGAAAATAATCTTACGAATGAATTAGTATTTACTCAGTATACACTCTATCCCATATTCAATATAATTAAATAAAAATAAGCAAAAAAAACAATAAAATAGTAAAAATTCAATTGGTGGTGATGTTTTTAATTAATTATTTACTTTGAAATGTGTCCAGTGGCAGCGGCAGTGGTGCTAAGTTTAGGTAGTTTGTTGTTTCTATGCATATATAAATGTTTTTGTTTGGTTTGTCTCTTCGATGTGTTACTAGTTGTTGGTTTTTTTTTCAATTCTCGACCAAGAAAAAAAAAGTATCAAAATTAATTTCGTCGAATCTACATGATGATTGCATCTATTGAAATTGGTGAATTTGTGATTTAGTTAATTTATATTCATGTCGGTCAGTTCTTTAGTTCTGTGATGAAGTGCCATTTCTACGTGGCGGTTTTTGCAATTCTAGAATAATAACTGAAATTAACTAACGAAGCGGCAGCATAAATCAATCTAATCTTAACGTAAAACAGTAATAATGGTGGTATACTCGAATGGATCGAGGAAATGCACTCAGGCAAAAACTCAGTTCGAAAATTGTTGAAAATCATTCGCTTTGCTGTATAATTTAAAATCGTTGAAATGTTGGCGCCAAAGGCGGATTCCATTTTTTTGTTCTTCTTTCAACCGACACTGGTATACGGTAAGCAACGATATTCGAACTGAAGTCTTCGCTGTGTGTGTGTGTGTGTGGTTCAAAGTGTCAGTTGTTTCTAGTCAAAATCTGGTTCAAGAAATGTGCTACGTATTCGGGATACGTATATGAAAAACGAATCTCTCTCACGAAAGGTAAATTGATTTCAATCTATAAAAAAATATGCTTTTCTTGCGCCGTTTTTCGGGTATTTCTTCCAAGTAATAGGTGATCTTTTTTGGCTGAACGCAGCTGAAACCATATTCGATTCGACTGGCGTCATGAAATCAACAATCATCAGCGGCTGGCCGAAAAAAAAGGAGAATAAACTTGTTTTTTTCTTCTTCTAAATTTTCATTTTTGACAGACATTTTTGAAGTAATTTACGGAAATCTCTCTTTCGGCATGCGCGTAAACATTAAGTTATGAGATTTAGATGCGGAACACATATACCTATTAACATTTCTGGAATGTGAGTACGTGTGTTGATTGGTCGGTGTCTAGCTGTGTGTGATGGCGGGATGAGAACAAGAGCGATGAGCAAAAGTAAAACAGAGTAAGAAATGAGCATATTAAACGGTACGCCTTAACGGTATAGTTCCATTACAACGTAACATCGCTTATTAAATTCCCATGTATCATATCGTTCATGTTACACATTTCGTATTCAGATGGTAACATTAATAACGCAACTAGATAAAAGAAAAAGATATGGCTTCTATTGAATTTGCACACCTATTCGTCCATTCTCTTCCATTTTGGGCCCATTGCACTTGTTCATTACATTTTCATGTGGCTGTCTGCCAATCTCTTTTCATTCAAAGTTCATTTTCGACCCATTGACCGATGAAATGAGAGAAGAAAAAGAAAATAATTCGTGTGTCGACCATTAATCGATCGACACGGTTCATCCAAACAATTTGAAAAGTAAAAGTCATTTTTAGCGAATTAACAATGTAAAAAAAAGAGAGCGAATTAAAAGAATCTATTTTGAAAATAAAGTACAAAGAGAAAAGTTGAAAAACGAAATAAAATCGGTGTTTTCATTTAAAAAAAAAAAATTCTTGAAATAATTGAGAACTTTAGATGATTGATTGCCAACGACCCAAACAACGCTTAACCTAGACTTTTTCTTTCTGCAAAAAAGGAAAAGAAAGAAAAATAAAACTAATGAAAGAAAAGAGTCGTGATTGGCATCAGCAAATTGAGTGCTGATCGTGTTTCATTCGTTCTAAGTGAGGTAAGGTTGTTAATAGCTGTGACCAGAAGTGTACATTATCTGCACATTTTCTACGCATTCCTTGATTAAATCATGTAAACAAAGCATTCAATTCAAGTCCAAGGTAAGTAATAGACTAAATAAGCAGGAAACTAAAATGTAGAGCATTTAATGAGAAAAATGAGGCGCTCGAATGTTGGTGCAATGGTTGGTTGAATCATGAAAAATTTCAGGTTGGTTAGCAAACTAAAAGTGTCTCTCTTTCGCTGAGTGTGTGTGTGTCTTTCACAATTATGTGACATTTTGGCATTCGCCATCCTGTTGTTTTCTCTCTCTCTCTCTCTCTCTCTCTCTCTCTCTCTCTCTCTCTCTCTCTCTCTCTCTCTCTCTCTCTCTCTCTCTCTCTCTCTCTCTCTCTCTGCTGTTGTTGTTGTTCTTGTGAATTGTGGCAAAGTTAGCTTAATAATAACGAAGCACACAAAATGCACGGTACCATTAGAAGAGCAACGAAGCCTACTTTCGGCGGCGGCAATTGCCAGATGAATGTATATAATAATGACAAATTGGGCGACAAAACCATTGAAAATTGGAATTTCCCATTTTCGAGAAAAAAAAATTTCTCTCGATTTGGGTATTGCTTTGTCTTTTCTTCTTCGTTTCCTTTTAGAGATCGGTAAATACAGCGCATACAAAACAGAAAAACGACAACGAAACAAAAAAAAAAACAGTCGAACCAAGTGCTCGCAGCTAGCACGTACTTCAATTTTCTTCTGTGAACCGAAAACACAAGCATAAGCAACGCTACCGTAGCAAAACGCTTGTAATTATGGTACTTGATGCACCATCACTGCCATTCACAGCAACACAATAATGATTCACAGAATCACACAGTATCAATGATTTGATTATAAATAATTTGAATGGAAATGGGATCAAACGATTTGTACTAGTTTTTTTAGATCGCCAACGCGGGCGCGCGCGCATCATCATCATCATACGATCCAAGTCCGGAGATGGCGATATGAAGAAAAAAGAGCCGATGCAGAAGCCATCTTTGTGGTTTTTACCGGCGTATTTCTCTAAGATTTCATGTGTTTGCGCTGTAACGTGACACTCAATCGGACATGAATAAACTGAACCAAAGGCACTCAGTTCAGTTGCCAACTTTGACTTTGTTCTATTTTCTTTCTTTTTTTTTTCTCTCCCCATCCAACATAATTTCAAATAATTTAACCGATTTTATTTAAATATTGTATGAGTATATTTATAATGGTAGACAACACTTTTTCATGCATTACTCTTCGATTGCCTGTGTAAATGTGTTAAACTGAACGAAAGAAATGAAGAAAAAAAATTGACGAACAATATCACGAAGCTAACAGAAGAAGTAGCAGAAACCAGCACCAGAATCAAGTCTTGCATTCTACCAAAGAATCGGCTCAAGCCACGATGTTCAAGATGTATAATGCGTTACATCACGAATCGTTTGCGCATTTGTATTTGTATGTGAATTAAACACACAAACAACACCAGCACTTCGGCTGATGAAAGAGACCGATAGAGATAGACTGAGTGACAGACAGAGAGCGAGAGAGCGCGCGTTTCGTCAATGGTAAAAGCAGAACGGTAAAGCATAAAGAACATATCGTCACAGAAGAGAGGCAAAAAAAATAAAGGTGTTCGTTGCCATACATTTCTCTTGATTTCAATCAGAGACGCAAGCAAATCCGCCCAAGTAAAATAAAACTAATTGTTTTCGGTTGTTCAGTTTACGTTTGTAGCTCGATGCGAGCAGAATCGTTTTTCGAGGTTTAATGATCGTCGAGTGTGTATGTTTTTTTTTCTCAAAAAGACAACGGTTTTATAAACATTTTTGCGTACAAAATTATCGGATATTAGGTGTAGTTTAAAAAAAAAATAACACGGCGAAAGCAATGAATTTATACATTTTTATGGTAAGCTTTTAGTCGATAGTCAGCCTTCATAGAATAGATTCTATTCGATTTTATTATTGTTGTTTTTTTCCTCTAAAACTTGTTTAATTGCTCATTTTGTGTGTGTATTTTTTTTGGACTTTGAAAACGTTGATGTTTTTCGTTCTGAAAATGATCATCATCTGTGATATAGCGCACAAACTGAGTGAATATCGAAATAATGCTCATTTATTCCGGTTAAATATTTATTTTTTTCGCATTACACATTTCACTTGTCTCCAGAAATTTCCTCGACCGTTCGTTTTGTATGCCAAGTACGTGCATAAAATAACGATCGCGGCCTACTTGGTGTACACTTGGTTGTGTCGCACATAAAACTGTGCTATTCCATTGACTGTAGTACTCATGAGTATCTAATAGTCTGCTCTCTTTAAATGCTCGATGCCATCATCGAAATGAAGCTCATTGAATCCGATTTTCCAGGCAGATCTGATGGTCGAGTGACCGAACGAAATGAATAAAAAAGCAAACCGATTCAAATAAACCGTTGTCCTGCCTTAAATTGCGATCATTTTGTTCAAGCATGAAATTCCGTAGGAAATCGCTGTCTGAACATTTGTCGCGCGTTTGATGATTATATTCACATATCATTTTGCGACTAGTTTTTACCGTTTCGAATAGAACATAATTTGTGGCGAAGATGGGATAATAGTGTGATAAAAAAATAAGAATAAATAAAAAAGTTCCATTTATCCATTTATCCCATATGGATGTTTGGAAGAGACGTAGATAGCAATGATCGGTTCTTTAGTTGGTTCTTTTTTATTCCTTCATTTGTTCTTTCGTTCTTATAATTATTCCCATTTATCACATAAATTTTTCGACTAACTGTAATTGGTAACCTAGAATCCATCGTTCGAACCGATGCCCGTGTAAATAGGCGCAATTAAGAAGTTGAACACTTTGGAAAACCCATTTATTCGGTTTCGTTTCATTTTGAATGGAATTTTTGAGCACAATGATTTTTCGTTTTGGCCATGTAATTTCGTTCGTTCTTCCAGAAAAATTGCGGAAAAATACTTTTGGATACAAAACTACAATGGGCAGCGAATATGATCGTGTGATCGAATGTGTGTTTGTGTGCGCGATGGAAAGAAAATTTGGTGTTTTTTTTAACAATATATAGCGCATAACGAGTCAGTCGACATAGAACCGATTCGAATTCATTCCATCATATCGTTTCATAAACCATAACTGGAACTCTTTCTCTCTCTCTCTCTCTCTCTCTCTCTCTCTCTCTCTCTCTCTCTCTGTTTTCCGTTTGACTATTGACGCTTTATTTTATTCATTTTTCCCATTCTTCTTCTTTTCATTGGAATAATTATGCCAAACATGGTATTGGCTTAGCGGCTTATTATCGAACGCATTCCATGATGATTAATAAACAAAGATTAACTACTTTCCATGTGTTCACGTTTGGGTCTGAATAGCACTAACTTGGTTGCGTCTACGCCCCAACGAATGATTGGAATTCTCTTATTCTGATTCTTTGATTTAAACCAACTCATGTTCTATGTTGAGCCGTTTTTAAAAAAAATATATATTATATTCCCTCTGATTTTGTTGTTGTTTTTCAACAGCAAATACGGCGTCGAAGAGGCAACGAATGTTAATTTCATTATTTATTTGCTTAAAATTCAGAATCAGTTATAATTTGACCTATTTACGAATCGTCGCTTGTTCGCTTCTCGTTTGTTGCACTCTTTTCACCTTCCTTCTTTTCGTTCTTTCTTTGCGCGCATTCATTCTTGTTTCAAATTCACCGTGTAGACTTCTTCTTCGTTTTTCATCTTTCCATCTCTCTTTCTCTTGCCCATCAAGTTGGTGTTTGTTTTTTTTTAATTCTTTCTGCTTATTCTTTATTTTCGCTGTTCTCATCGATGTATCTGAACCCGTTGGAAACACACAAACAAACAAACAAACACACACACACATTTAGCTATTGCGCCAACAACACTGAGCCATGATTCTGTTATTTTCTCTCACTTTTTTTTGGGTGCGCTTTATTGATGATTAACATTTTTGTTTGAAATTCCTTCAAAAGAAATTTGGAATGAGTGCCCGTAAATTGAGCTAAGCTAATGGCTTTTGTTGATTGAATGATGTCATGACCAAACAGATAAGAAATTCTCTTATTATCTTGTTTTTTTTCTTTCTCTTTTATTATCTTCTTTCCTCCATTTATGATCTAGACATTTGTGCTCTTACACAACGTAGTCGTTGTGCTGACACAGGATCCACATATCGATGATGAGGAGCCACCAGAAGGGTAAGCTTTTAGTTTAATTGCAATAGTATCAAATGCCCGGAGTAACGGTTCATTAAAATGAGACTAATCATTTGTTGTATTTTCTAGATATTATGCGTTCGTTGAATCAGCTTCAGCCATACCGCCGAGCGTTCGTCCACCCCCATATACTCATGTAAATCTCGAATGCAAAGATATTCCCAGTAAAAATGCCTTTGTGTCGGTGCACAATATTTGCGGTGACTTGAATAAAGGTCAAATACCACGCAATCCAATGGGACAAAATGTGTTAGGTGAACCGTATCCATTGTAAGTACATATCTGGATAACTGACCAGAATGGCAAACGGATATCCATAACGATACATTCCCATATCGAATGTAATTAATGTGATTTTGTTTTCTGGATTTTGCGCTTTTTTTCTCGTTTTCTTTATTCCAGTGAATTGATTCGAAATCGTACATTGGACTTTTTGTCAAAAACATTACCCGTACTAAAAGCTGATGACACTCTGCCGAAAGTGACACAACTTCTCGACGAACAAATCGATGTCATTGACAATAACGGGTAAATACAAGCAATTATACGCGATATAAGCAAATAGACAAATTACACACATCTAACATGAATTTATTCGTGCATTCAATTTAGTATTGGAAATCGTGTGGGTCGTCGAAACGCGAGAAGTACGAACGAAGACGATGAGAATCGCAAACCACGAAGACTTTGCGATGGTAATGGTGGCGGTGTGTTCTGTACGTTGTATCGTGCTATTCAAGGTGAAGGCTTCGGTGGCGGCGGTGGCAATGGATCACCTCAAATTGCCGAACGTCGTGAAGAATTAAATGCACCACGGTATGTAAAATGGTTTCAATTCGGATAGGAATGAATGAGAACAATAAATAAATGAATGAATTGTTTGTTCACAGTTACGAAGGTCCACCAACACCCTGCCCGGCCAAAGTTGAGTACGCAACACCAGTGTTTGCCAAAAATTATCAAGGATCATGGCGATACGTTGTTCAAATTCCATACGAAGGATACTTTACACAAACCGTCGAAGTGACACGTTGTCTGCAATCACGATGCCATTATTTGGACGGCGGTTGTTTGTCGTCTCCGCGTTGGGTTAGTATGCTTGTGGCCGAAATTTTTTATCCAACCGAATATAGTTTATCGACTACGACAAGTACACCCGCTCCATCCGTTGGTGATTTCCAAAATTATCAACAATACTTGCAAAAACGAGCTGGCGCCTCATCAGCCACTGATGGTACATCGGATCAACAGTTGAACAACGATCAAAAGTCCATACATTGCGACGGTTACGACGAAATTGGTTGCTTCGAAGTGCGTCTCTACTACGATTGGTTCTTAATTCCTGGTTCTTGTAAGTGCTGGCGACCAGACTACTTTGCCAGATATGTCCGAAGAAAGCCCGGCAACGCCGCTGATTTGTAAATAACACAATCCAAAAATTAACAAAAAAAAAGGTAGAAGCAAACAAAAAAAAAAACAAATAAAAAACAATACACAAAACGAACACTCTACATTCGATAGCAAAAATGAAGTGACAACCGTCTCACATCGAACAAATTAACTGACTAACTCTTCTGATACTCACGTTTTTGTATCATGTCACATATGGACTGTAATTCGGTAGTTGACTCAAATTAAATTATTATTTATAAAATACATCGAATACACCTTTTATGAATAAGACTTTTAGATTAAGACGAGTTAATTTTGCTTTAATTTATTCCAAAAAAAAAATTATCAAAATAAATGTATATGCTTTAACGGCGTTATAAATATATATAAATTGGCACTTTTTTTTCATGATCTGTTCAATTTGACTATTGAATGTGCATGTGAACTCATGGCTAGGCCATGCTGGTTTATTTGGCATTCCGGCGAACCAAATAGAAGATTACAAATGCAACTAAAAGAGCTAATGCTAACAAACATAATACATAAATTAGAACGTGCGAAGCTGGATTTTCTGTCATTGAAGCGGCTGAAAGCGTAAGAGCGTCTTCAAATTGTTTCACATTGTTCTTTTGCCAGTCCACCTTGTCGTTGACAGTATTTTTGAGAGTTTCGATTTCAGCGTCGGTGATTAAGTTTTTAGATTTGGCTAAATCCAACAGATTGACGAACTAAATGGGAAAAAAATCGGATTGATTTGAAAAAAAAAATTGTTCTTCCAAAAATATCAAGCCATCTTACATCAGTTTGAACTTCAGCTGTAACAACGTTTGAGGCAACCGATGTTAGAATCGTAGGAACTGATCCGATGGTCGTATTGACTTTTTCCAAATTATGTCCGAGGAATGTGATGGTAATCGCAAGACCACTTTGACTACCGCCACTAATCGATTGAATAATCGACATTAAATCGGCTTTGGTCACTCCAGTGCCCACATTACCGAGAGTTTTGTTTAGAACACGTTCGGTGTATGTGCTATTTTGAATATTTCCCAAGCTGTTGATGATTTCTTTGCGTTCATCATCGGAGTTGGTGGCGACAAGGTAATTCCAAAATTTGTCAATATCTTTGCTTGCAGCGTTACGTATTCCGTTGGAAAACACTAAACCGCGATTATCTTGCGATGGTTTGTTGCCATTCTGAAGAAAATTGTGGAATTTGATATAGGTTTCGTTCAAACACCGTGGAACACCAAATCGGCAGGCCAATTCAACGGCAATGTTTCGCGAGAGTTTATCGAAAAGTGGTTCATTTTCAATTGCGTCCAATGTCTTATTATTGTAAAAGTTGGTTAGAATTTTTGCAGCAAAGTCATTGAATTCGTGCTGCTTTTCACTGGCGGCGAAAATTTGATTTAAATCCAAAAGTGCACGCCGGGCTGACACCCATGGTGCGTAATGGTTTTCATTTGACAAATAGGTCAATGCACTGAACAGAGTTTTTGGTGGAACACGACCAGTGCTCACAAAATCATTCAAATCATCAATGTATTGAGCCCGATTGTTTTCATGAATCGAAGACAGATTGCCGGAGTTCAGTTCTTTGTTAATCAAATCGTAGTTGTGTTGGTCATACCAAACGCGATAGAAACCAGTTTGCTGACGATTGAAAACCAACCAATCGTCTTTCGTCCATTTAGTATTATCTTCGGGAATGAGCGTTTGGTTTTGACCTTTCGGGAACCAACCAGATGGAGTGGTTACATCGAATTCGGGGACTTTTCTTGTTGCAAAATTGTATGGAATCCACCAGGTACGTGTGTTTGGTTCATCTGGCTTGTAGACTGCATCGTATTCCCCTTGCAACAGTGTCACCGAACCATTGGAATTTCGTACAACCTGTTACAATGGAATGGTAACTTTGTTAATTAAGCCTTTTCAATCAATTGGAAACATTTATTTTTCGCAGTGTGTATGAAAATAGTTTTTTTCATCACCTTCAAATATGGGAATCCCTTTTGATTCGACCATGATCCAAACAATTCCTTCACCGTTAATGGATCGGCAATCACTTCATCTTCTTTGGCCGCTTTGTTGAGGTTTTCAAACAAGTTGTCTTCGTCAGCCACACTGTGTGCTCTATTTTGAGAGAGATTGATATTCAGAACGCAAGATAAAAATGAATTGAAGCGCCAAAATGGAAAATGATTTTCTGGATCGATTCTAACAGATGGCGCCACGCCACACAAAGTGTTTTTCGTGCAAATGAGCTTGGAAAAACTTAAGAGCGAAAGTTTATCAAATAAAAAAAAATAACGTGACACTCACTGTGCGTTTAAATAATATGTGAGTCCTTTTTTGAACGTGTCCTCGCCAAGTGCGTGCAAAAACATGCGAATGACCGAACCAGCTAAAATGAACATGATGAAATGGAAACACACGATGAAAAATCAACTCCAAAGCAAACACTTTTGTTAAACATATACAATTTACATTTAGCATAGGCAATGCTGTCAAATAAACCAGATACACCACTTGGACTTTCTGCATAAGTGGTCATTGCGCGCGTAGTCGATTTTGCATCAGTGCGAAGAACGGGCTGCAGTTGGTTTGCAATAAAATCGCTGAAAATATTCCAATCCGGATGCACCTAAATTACAAAATCACGCATCGATAATTAGTACCATAACGTTGCATTACAACGGCAAAACATTTCGAAACATACCAATCCAGCGCCGAGGTATTCGAACAGTGTTGCAAATCCTTCATTTAACCAGATGTATGTCCACCACTTTGGCGACACTAAATTGCCAAACCATTGATGACCGAATTCGTGTGCAATTATTGTGGAGATGGTGAGCTGTCGTGATGGCAAATGAACGTTCGGATCATATAACAAGTATGGCTCTCTGTATGTTACAAGTCCCCAGTTTTCCATAGCTGCACCGGAAAAGGGCAAAAAAAAGTCGAATGTGCGTGAAGATTACCGAAAATCCAGCCAATTAATTCAATTTATTTTCAATTTAAAATGGTACAAACCTCCAGCTTGGAAATCTGGTATCGCAGCTTGGTCCATTTTTGGCAAGGAAAATGGCACTGACACATATTTTGAAATGGCATTCAAAATCTTCACGCCTTCATCCAATGCGTATGCAGTTTGGCTGAGCTTATTTTTGCTGGTGAAGACCCGTTGATGAGTTGGATTGGTATCTGACGCATTTGTTTCGTTATATTCGAAATCTGACACGATAAATGCAATCAAATACGTCGATGTCGGTGGCGTTGTGGCAAACGTTGTCTTAACTCTACCCTCCGAACTGAAATGAAAAACCCGATGATTATTTGCGGTTAGAGTGCTTTCTTCAATTTCTTACTCCGGTGTTGATGTTGTTCCATGAGTGTTTGATATAGCGTTATACGAAACATCATGATCTATATGAATAGTGAAATTGGCCTTAAATGCAGGTTCGTCATAGCATGGGAATGCATGTCGAGCATCGGTCGATTCAAACTGTGTTGTCGCCAACCAACTGCAAAGCAAAAATTGTTGCGATTATTCATCATATCCATCGAGGAATGTGGCGATAGGACTTGCTGTCTCAATCCGTTGGCATCAAGATATGATGATCGATAAAAACCGGCATTATCTTTTCTCAATTCACCCGTGTAGGCGATGGTCACTAGGTAGTTTTTGTCTTTTTCAAGTTTACTTTTGGTCGCAATGATGACAAATTCGGGAACAATCGAGTATGTCCATTCTAATTGAATATCACCACCACTTGCAGTTTTTAGTCTTATGTCTTTTATGGTTAATTGGCGTGCATGTAGGGTAATGGTAGACGTTTCTTCTAGCGCCTTGATGTTAATTACCACCGTTCCTTCGAAACTGATGTCGTCGTCTTCATTCACTGCTTCATCCACTGTCGTTCTTATTGTAATATCGTAGGTTTCCGGTTTCGTATTATTTGGCAAACGGTAATTTTGTTCATCACGCGTATCTACAGCAAATGTCTGAACATTTTTTGGATCTAATGGTCGTAAATCACCTGACACAATTGTGCAACACAAAATTCCAATTAAAAAATACCCAACGAAATTCATGGCTGTTTCTATCCCCTTAAACTTTCTGCACAGGCACAACAGATTCACATGGAATGCCGTGAATAACTAATCATTGAAACTGTGATACAATCAACTTATTTTGTCTAGGCATTGTGAAATCGTTTTCAGAAACACAACAACAACAACAAAATAGAGAAATAATTGTTCGAATGGTATGTTCGTTGAATGGGCGCAAAAATTATTTGCAATGATAAGAACAATACACTTACATGGACCCTAAAGGTGACGCTTGCACTTGGTTAGACGCAAAGATAAAATGTCGTTAAATTGTATCATCCTCGAGTCAATAGACTGATAAGCAATTGAACACGTCTATTTTTTTCTCCGTATAAATATTTCAATCTTCTGTAAATATTTGTATGTCGTAATTAAAGACATCAATTTATAATTGTAATTGCTCATCATCATCAACACTACATGTAATTTCGATAACACACGCGCGCGCGATCCCAACTCATTATATATCGATATGTGATTGAGCATTAAACAAATATAGTTGTTAAGGAAAGAACAGAGTGTCATAAACTACCAAGAAAATAAAAATCATAGCACATACCAAGGCCCTGCAGTAAGTGGCAATATCGTTTTGAAAAAATAGATCAAAAACTCTATTTGCCGAGTAATGATAATTGCTCCCAATTACGGCTACCTTTGTGTCTGATATTTAAAAATATGCTTTTATTGTGTTTAAATAGGACCAATTTAATTTGACGCACACACTGCGGCACATTTTCGTCAGTAAATTTGCCACACAATACGCATTTGCAATTGCTTTTAAGATTTTCAAGTGATATTTCATGTATAACATGTGTCATGTATCATGTGCTATCATTTTGAAGAAAAATAAGAAAAAGAAAAGAAATTGCTATTCGGAAGTCATGTTTTATGGATACATTGTTGCCTATTTTATATTTTACAAGTGTGACTTTTAGTTTGTCGAACGACAAAATCACTATCGGCAACAAGTTGAATTCCCTGTGTCACCAATGACGTAATAATCATTTTTGAATGATGACTACGAAAGAAAACAAAGAAATAAAATTCCCCATACAATTCGAGCCATAAAACATTTATCAAGATATTAAGTGTTCTTCATTTGTTAATAATAATTAACACTATTGATAAATACACCGAAATCCAATTAAAATGGTGAAGATTTACCGACTCATTAAAGCAATTGCACTGAATCATTTCGATAATTGAAGGAAATGCTATACGCCAACCTTTTGCCATGTCGTTATTGCAAATAGTACAGCGAAGAAAAAGAAAAAGAAAATAATAATATAATAAAGCGAAATACATGCGATGACATTTGTTAGCATTTATTTATGATGTGAAAATCTCACACAATATTAATGTGTGGATAACACCCACCCACCCATTGACAATGGTGAATTTTTCAGTATCAAGGCGCCAATATTTCTTTGCCACTTGAATAAAGCGGGAGCATAGACGACAACAACAACAACAGAAACAACGACGACGGCAAAGCCGGAATGCTGATTCATAATAACGGAAATTAGACGGAACGTATCAGTTTCTCGGTGTATATGTGTATATTATATAAAAGAAAGGAACATGTCCATTGGTTTACATCGACAGTGAGAGAAGCTTGATGGAAATACATGAAATTAATAAGGAAATTGAAATATCTATTGAAAACGAGGGAACTATATACTATAAATGCATAATTAATTTATATTTTAATCAAAAAGTACTTCTCTTTGATTAAAACTCGCCAAAAATTGTAATGCCGCAGAAAACAAGGGAGTTATATTGCATGACCACCACCAATAACAAACAGAACAAATGTTATGAAAAATGAATTTTCGGTGCATAAAATCAAATGACTGACTCATTTCGCTGCACTTTCTCAAAGACTTCTAATATTAATCAATGCATTGTGACACATTTCCCGTTTGACATTGATAATATCATTATCGATTTCATGTGATTTGACTGAGTGTGTGCAATAGAAACAAAATGAAATCATTGAAATTGTGCAATATGCATAAGACAATTTGCTACAATTCATTTTGATGGAGAATGTGTATCAAGCTCGATCCTATTCCCAATATTGTGTGTGAACGCTGAAATGCGTTTGCTCCCCCCTAAAAACAAAAAAAAATCAATTATGAACTTTAAACGAAACATGTTTTACCGTATTTAGAATTACCCTACAAGAATTTTGCGACAACGTTTACGCAAACGTATCGCCAACCTTATGCAATAGTTGTCACAGAATGCATGAACTGCGATCAACTTCATTCGAATTCAGCATGTTGTATTTTTAAAGGCTGCAATGGCTGATTATTCTACTTAATAATTATTTTGAATAAGTTTTTTTTTCTTATTAGCAACGATGAGCAACATGAAAAGTTTAAATACAACCATTTGAAATTATGTTTTCAATGTAATGAAGTTGGATACAATTCGAATTTACAGGTTTACGCAATGCGATATGTCGCAGATATGTCGGCGTAATGATTATGCGTAAACCTGTACATTGAAAAACCTATCGCAATGCGGAATGTCACGGGAAGGTTTTGTTTCACGGCGACATGTCGACGTAAACCTCAATGTATCGCAAAATTCTTGTAGGGTTAGTCTATTGAAAAACGGAATTATCGTCGTAAATGATGTATGACCACTTTTGCTAAGTGAGCAGGAACGAGTACAGCCGAATGTGTTCATTTGTATGCATTGAAATCCTGAAATGAAAATAAAATCTCTTTTCTCTCTCCTCTCTCTCTGCGTTGCAGATTTGACACATATTACTTCAAGATATTGTTGGCATGTATCAAACAGCGATTAACTTCGGTTGAGTGCATATTTCATTATTAAACAAACACAAGAACAGATAAACAGATCAATTTCAATCGAATCACTTCGTTGAATAATTTGCCTTCGATTAATATGATAAATTTTTTTTTATTGTTATGCGTATACCGGTTTGGTGCTGTTCCATTTCGATGTTGTTCCAATTTCAAAAGTCCTTTATCGTTGAGCCTCTCTCTCCCCCTCTCGCTCGCATTGTTTGCCATTAGATTCCGGTTCGATACATGTGAGAAAATGAAAGCGTTTGAACATTTGTTCGAGTGAATCAGAGCCTCTTGAGAATATCAATGTACTTTGGTTGTTCGCATTGTTCTAAATCTGGAAAACAAACAATACATACAGTAATACAGGCATACGCACACAAACAAAGAAAAAATTTTTATTCTCAATATGCCGGTTAGGCATAATGTGCGACCACCGTAGTGTTGCTTCCCTACTAATTTCGATTGAAACTTTCCTTCCACTGTCGCACGACACACAATTGCCGGTCCACCGATGCTCTGCAAGGCGAACAAATATAAACCGTTGAAGTCGATATATATGCTTAACTTCTGTACGACATTGTTCTAGCGAATTATAAGGCTTGAACGTGGATGAAAAACTCACTTCTCACTTTAGAGCGATGAGATTAGTAATGAATATTAAATATTTATTGAAATGAGCGTAGGAAATTTTTTTTTTCTCCATCAAAATTCATATCAATAAATAAGAGATGGGAAAAAATAGGTTCAAGTGAAAAAGTGAGAAAAAAAAACGAAATTTTATTCGTTAGTTTTGAAGCACTGTTGATGTTGACTGTTCTCAATATGCATAGTTTTATCTTCCATCGAAAATCATTCAATTTCACATGGTTTTTGTGCACACTGTATCAGGCAAATATCATCGTTGTCCCAAGTCCCAAGCCCAAAATAATCGTGCCCAAAACTTGTGTAAGCCTCATTCCGGTTGTATAGGCTAGGCTAAGTGTGGCTCACTCTCTGGTGACTGGTTATCTGACTGACTGGTTAGCTGGTTGGTGCCGCGCACACACCATGTCAACCGAATCAAAGAGATTCAAATTTTGTTGAATATTATTGTTTTTGCGAAATGTGTGCGGTGAACGCGTTTACTGCGTGCATTTGTTGTATAATAACGTTTTAGATGAGCTCTTTAACACGATAGAGGTGGTGCTGAAAAATAAATATATACCTATTATCTACATACACATATACACACATATCAAACATCCATTACTCTTGGGCAACCGTTTTTCTATCTCGGTGTGTGTGCGATATGCGTGCGTATGTATGTGTATTGTGTATCGTATTTTGTTTTGTTTTGTATGATGTTTATTCGAATTGCCATTTTACATTTTCACTCATATTCCCTGACGCGCTTTGTTTCCGACATTTTTGACGGATATTTGACTTTTGTGTTTTTATTTATCGCGGTCACTTCATTTTTGCGATGCTAAAGATCTTAAGCAAATAAATTACAGCTTTATTAACGATTTCTGATCGTATCACATCATCCCTGTTTACTTATTGGAAACCCTTTCTGTGAGTCATTTGCATATTATTTGAATGCAAGCTATTTTCACTTCGATGTTTTCCCTTCGATCGGGATTGAGAGAGCGAGAGCAAGAAAGAGAGAGAGAGAGCGATATAGAGAGATAGAGAGAAAAAACAGGCATCCATTCTGGGTATCCACATCACCCACATCGATTTATTTTCGGTTTGCAAATGCTTTATATGTGTATGCTTTCGTTCACCTCCGCACCTCTCCACACATTTATGGTGAGATAGAAAACGGCAAAAGAACATCGAGGCATTAGTTTTCAACAACAATTTTAGCATAATTTGCCAATGAATGGATTATATATAAATACATACGTGTATAAAGTAGAGCGACGCACACGGCACTAAATCCCAAGTCGATTGGCTGACGCAGATTTAATGTATTTTCGATTTGCATACCAAACTCGAGCAACAAAACATAATTATCAACAAAATAAAAATGCGAAAAGTTGTGCACACACTTCGGCTGCAATATGCTGCGAGCGGTGTTTCAGATCATCGTCAGATGTTCGATAATTGCATATTGTTAAAATGGTTAAAACACATAAACAATATTTAATTGCTCTTTGTGTAAACAATATGACGATGTGTGTGTGTGCATGTTTCTCTCTGTCTCTCCCCCCCCCCCATCTTTGTCGCTCGTTCATGTTTTATATGAAAAATGCATCGATATTAATTTAGCAAACCGAGTAAACTGCATGGTGGTTGCATGCGGTTTTTGGCATACGATTTTTTTTTCGTCCTGTTCAAAAAACCCATATTTCAACCCATTTTCTACAGTCATTTGTTGCATGAACTCGAATTGAGAACGAGTACTTGTTGAAACGTTCGAACATGCCATGCAAACGGCGTCAAACACGACAAATCCCATTTCTACGACAGTTTTTTTTTACGGTAATCATTTGCTTAAACAGTTGTAATTGCCTACCCTTATTCACTCGATTCCACTTGAGACCGAATGAATCGGTGTGAAATTAAAATCTGCAACAAAAATGAAAAATCCATCGTCAGAAATTTCAATGAATTTTTCGGTGATATGCTCTTTTTATCATTTGTGAAATGTTTCATGTTTTCGAGTGGAATGGTTGGTTGAATGGACGATGTGACAGAAACAGGTCAGCATTTTTGGTTTCGTTATGCAGGTCAGACCACCTTTATGTCACCATTTTAATACCAATTGTTAGCAAATTGCAAATGTCATTGTTCTGCCGATTATTGCCATAATTAAGGTAGCTAATTTATGCAATACTCTTTTTCAGTTCGTTTCCTAATGCAAATGCATACCAAGCGTTCTAGTGTTGAAGCTTTGGTCCTTCAAAGCTGTGTAAAAAGCATGGCGTAGAGTGGTTGAGAAAAATAAATTACTTTCGGTTGCAAATCACACAAGATATAAGAATTTATTCAAGATTTATCCCATTTACGACCGATGTGTATGTGTGCACAAGAGAGCCGAATTCGAATAGGTTCAAGTGTCGAACAAAAGAGGCTTTTTTTGTCTATGTGTGTGTGTGTGTGTGTGTGCACGCAAAATTGTTGAATAAAATGCTACATGAATGGAATGGGCTTTTGTTTACACATTTGAAACGTCTAAGCGCATTGGTGTTTTGTTATTTCGGCAGTTACATACCAGCAGCTCCCTTGTTTTAGTCCTTGCACCCAAGGAATCTAGATGTGTGTACTTTTTTATCCTTTGTTGTTGCTAAAAAAAGCAACTAGCAATGATAGATTGATACATAAAAAACAGAATGGCATAATGGCTGCTGCTGCAGCAGCAACAACAGCGTGTACACGGTGCAATCAGTTTTGTGCTTGTGTGTGTGTGTGTGTGTGCGATTGCAATTTCCATAGAAATGTCATATCCTGAAATGTTCGAACGGAAGAGCTTAGAAAAAGTTTACACAGCCTCTGGCATTTGCACATCCTTAAATGGCACTGACACACATATTTTCGAGCAGATACATGTAATTTATTGACTTAGCTCTATGTGATCACATAATCGACCGAAAACGTTGGCATTCATTTAGCAGAAATACTTTCATCTGTATCGCTGCTTATTCATTACGCGTCAAATCGATTGAAGTTACATAGAAAGCAAGTCGAATGCTGAGCCGCCGCCGTCACCACCACCTTCACTACCTTCATCATCACCACCACTCAGTATTGTCATTGTCGTCGCGGTCGCCAATCATTTGCACGGCATTAGCCCGATACACAGCACAGTAATCAATACGAATGAATTCAATGAAGTAATCGATCACAAACGCTTGTCTTTGCTCGGACATAGTCAGGCTCGAGCAAACTGTAATTATAAGCCATTTGATTTCAAAGTGCAGATCCCATATTATTCCACACAAGAGAGAATCTCAAGTACCAAAAGCGATGGTGTTTTCTTGTTGCACTGTTGGAATCCTTTGAATTGCAACACGGTGGATGATGGTGTAAGCGTAAGCACGTCATGCAATTCAAACTCAAACGCACAATTCATTTCGGCTTGAACAGCCACCTCAAAAGCGTTGTCCATTTTCAACTCGTTCATTTGCTCCTCTCTCTCTCTCTCTCTCTCTCTCTCTCTCTCTCTCTCTCGTGTGTGTGTGTGTATCGCAATGTGTGTTCTATGCTTTCGATTTAAATAATAACAGACTTTTTTCATTTTCATTCTCTCTCTCTCAGTTTCTTTTGCTGTGTATTCCCTTCAATGAAGCGAAACAACGGCGATACGCGCGCGATAGAGGAAGGCAACAACAAGTTTCGAGTTATTTTCATGGTTAGGTGTTACGGTGGTTAGAACTTTTTTTTCTGCTGCTGTTGTTGTTCTCCTCATTCTTTTTATTTGTTTCGTTTCGTTTGATGTACGTTCATACACACACAATCCATCCATCTACTCCAGTGTACTTGCCAATGCGAGCTCTCGGTGTTCGGTGGGTAAAAAATGTGGATAAAACGCTTGCGCACACACAATCTTTTCTATCATCTAGAAGAGAAATCGTTTAGCGCCGATAACACATCGAAAAATGTATTCTAAACCAGCGTTCATTCCTCGTTCTAGATGCTCATGTTAGCCAGCAGTAAAGGCAGTTATTCGTTGAACGTTTGTGATGGTTGACATAAGTCGTGTAACGGTCCGGTGTTCAAAACGAAGTAAAAACGTGTATTTTTTTTCAATTCATTGAATGATTGAGCATAACACAGTCCACGAACTACTCGTCACAATTTGAATTTTTTAGTTTCAGTTGAACGACTCATTTTTTGATCCATCATTTTTTGATTGCAACAATAATCTGTTTTTCTTTTGGTTTAGCGTTTTTTTTCGGTTGCAATAATTTATTTTCTTTTTCGGTTTAATTTCTTGTATGTGCTTTGATTGAACCGCTCTGTGTGTGACAAAACAAGTTAACGGAAAATAAAAGTGAAACAAATAGAACCGAGAAAAAGAGAGAGACAATGAAATAGAAAGAAGAAAAAAAAACAATTCAACAATTGTTATTAATTTCCAGTAAAATATAATCGTTGTGCATAATTCAAAAATAAATCGTCAAACTACAATTTATGTATTCGTTTTTATCACACCAATACAACTTCTTCTTAATTAAACAACATTTATTGTTCGTTTGATATTCCGTTTTCATTTTCATATTTAAATTGTTTCGCTTGCGACCAAAACAAAATGAATAAATAAATTATAAATTCAAACCGTTTTCCAATAAAACAGTTAACAACACATTGATGTGAACGGAGGGGCAGAGACAAGAAAAAGCATCAGACTAGAACAATAAGAAAAGTATCGACACATAAACACACTCACGAATACGAAAAGAAAAAGAAAACATAAACATAATTTGTATTTAAACAATAAGCAAAGATAAAGATCGATTGTTTCACGCCGAACAACTCACATGATAGCAACAACCAAATTTTGGACAAGGTAAATTGTGCAATAAAATACTCTATTTCTCTTGAAAACTTTTGAAACACACACACATAGAAGAAAAAAAAAACTAAATTAAAAACTATGCATATTTCGTTGTTGAAAACAATTTTTGAGCTAAAATTGTCAACTCTTCCCGGAAATTTGGATAAAAAATGTGCAATTGAAAAACTCTAACTAATTTTGTTGAACGTGCAATATTCGGCATGCTATTATTTTTTACCATTGGCATGGAATAAGTATCTCGAATGAAAATGATTGTGTTTTCGGAAGTAGTTCTTTTCAAGTGATGGCACAACTCATCGAAATATGCACTAGAACACGAAATCAACATTTTGCATCGTTCAACAACAACAACAACAAGATAAACAAAAATGTATTGTTGGTTCGATATAGTTTTCTAATTTAATGAGTCCCAACACGATTGCTCGAAAAATGATAGACTCTCTTCTTCAATGGTCACAAACCGAAAAATTGAAAAGCCAATAATCAAAAGACATATAGACAACGAATCAATTTATTTATTTTTTCGGCGATATGCGATGGTGTCCATTGAATCTGGATGGAGATCGTTCGTCAAATGAATATTGAAAGTGACACATAATCGCAGGATATATTTATCGATACATATATTAGACCATCTAATAATGGATTGTTGATGCAAATTACAACATGCATTTTTAATGATTTACAGCAGTCATACCGAAGAACAGTCATTGATAATGTGCTGCATAATCGATGATTAGTGCGGACGAATGGAGACTTCATTTTTTATTAATGTTTATATTATAAAATGTACATTGAGTGACAAAATGTGGAACTGGTTCGAGAGCACGCATATTAGCGTTGACTAATATTTAATTATTATTTTGTCGTTGCTTTTGTCTCAATATTCTTTGTCACATTTGAATCGGGCTCTTACCAATTGCTTTTCGGTTTCAAGAATCAGGTATGATATTGCTTTGAGTGTGCTTGATTTTCTTACGAAATCTATATATCGAAATATATATATATCTATATATTATTCGTGGCGATGTGATTGACAGTAAAGCAATCCAAACATCTTTTTTATTATTCCGTTTGAAATTCATTCCATCATGAAATTAAATTACATTCTATTTGTAGAAATATCGGTGTGGCAATTTTCATTTGCATTTGAGCAAAAATAGATCGAAATTACCATTGAAATTTGGTTTTGATTTTGATTTTAAAATGTTTATATTGCATCGTATGACATTTAATCCGCAAATAAATATGGAACACGGCAAAACTTCTAATCTCGAAACGAATGATAGCTTTATTTTTTATTCTATTTTTCTTTTCTGTTCCCATTTCTTTCGGCAAACAGACTCACATAAACAAAAACTTTATACTTCCGTTTTCTGCTTCATCGATCGCATTTGATTTATCGAGTGAAAGAAAAAACAAATATTATCGATGAAATCCATCACGATATAAAATATTATCGATTACAATGTGTATATATTCAATGTAATTACATTTGGTGACGGTCACCACATTCTAAACAACAACAACAACAACAACAACAACAGTAGCAACAAACCAAAATGGAAAGAAAAATGAATAAAATATTACAAAAAAAAAAACGTCATAATTAATTCGATAAAAACGTCTTCCAATTGATTTAGATTACCTTCAATTTTTAATGATTTCGTCTGATTTGAATTTGATTTCGGAACTTTGTCTATTTATCGTCTTGAATGAAAAATATGATAATTTATTCTGATGGAGGGGGGTGCAAAGAAACAATCAAACGCCACAGCCTCATTAAAACAATGCAAATTTGAATGATGTTCCCTTCATGTTCAGACAGAAGTAGTATATATCTATGATTTTCTCTTCAAACAATTTCAAAAAATTATGATTGATGTCTTTAGCACGCTACACGCTAACAAAAACAACAAATAATTTTATCCTAATCAATAAAATCAGGGAAAAAAATGCTAGAAAAATATTTCAGAACCAGACTCGACAACCATAAATTTTTATGTAAAATTGAAATATTTGCCTTTGATTATTATTTATGGCGCATTTTTGAAACTTTTCTTTGTGTAAAAAATAAAATCGATCAAAACTTTATCGTTCGAGAATTTCAACGTGGAATGTACACTACAGTGGATACAAAAGCTCGATAATTCATAGTTGTTCCACGTGCAATGATTTATTTAACACTCTTACGATTCGATCCATTTCATTTTTTGATTTTTTCACTATTTCTTTGGAAATTTGCATTCGAACAATTAGTAGACACATGGCGACAATGAACGAGGAGGAATAGAGACATAGAGTGTGTCGAGTCGTTTTCAAACAAAGCAAAAATCACATCATTAAATTGTATGCCATCTGTCTTTTGTGTTTCAATGGTTTCTGTTCCTGTTCATCGCTAAAAGTCTATTCGCATTAGTTTTGGAGGTGTGTGTGTGTGCATATTGCCGCCTATGTGTGTACATATTGATAGAACAATGCGGTTCTGCTATTGATATCCATCGTATATCACACATGTGTGTCATCTTATTTTTGTGTTTTTTTTTCGCTTGTTGTCGATGTTGTTGTCGATTCTCCGCCCGGTTTTTATTTGTTGGATGCGTTGTTGCATTTTTCATTCGTATTTGTAATTATTCGGAGTGGCAGAAGTGTGTTTGGTTTGAAATAAAAATACAACTATGAACATTGTTTATTCGAAGCGTATGAAAAACTAGAATATTGGACGTTGAAGCATAAAATAAATGCATCCTCATGGTTTTACCTGAGGATTGTGTGTATGTGTGTGTACTTTTTTTGGCTGAGATTTTGTCTCGCATGTACTCTCGTTACGCGGCGCATTTGTGCCAACGTTGGCAATAATCGTAACATATCCAGCGAAATTATATGGTAACATGAAATCGGCAATAAACGAAACATGAAGGAGAGAGACAGATGCGGAAGGAGAGAGGATGTTGAGAGGAGAGAGAGAGAGAAAAAAAACGGGGAGAGAACAAAAGCGCACTTTTATTGTGTCATTTGCAAAATGCGAATGCCAGTCTTTGTTTTACTTTCATGTATTATAGAATGCTCTCTTACTTTGGAAACATCGCGTGGAAGTGAAAGGCCAACAAAACACTGTCAAAAGCAGTTTGCATGGTAGACGGTAATGGTATTTATTCATTTACTTTTTTCTTAAATTCGTATGAAAACCGAACAGACCGCGGAGCAAGAGAGAGAAATAGGGCACGCAAAAAATGCCACCCGAAAAATGTGCCGTTAATGTGCACAATCGCAAGTGGCTCGGCAACACAAGAGATGATGACCATTTTGTGTGCTATGTGGCAACGCTTTGATTTGAATATGCTCATACTTGAGCATTTTCATGGTGATGCCAATACAAGGTCGCTTTTATTTTACTTCTCATTTTTTTTTTAACCTCATTCGAGTCTCAACTCCAAATCGCCGTATAAGTGAATTGCGGCTGTGCAAATTCAATGCGAGTGTGTGTATTATCTAAGCACGACTATAGCAACGGACAGATGCAAGCCACAAATACACTTGATTTACCAGATGTACATGCAGCTTTTGACAGTTAGACCAGAATATTGCCATTGAAGAATATTATTTTATTTTCATCGTATTTCCACCATTTGCCAATACTCTGATTCGACACTTTGCACCCAGCAGCGGCAGCAACAAAAATAGCAACACCAACTCACTAGCTGCTCATTCGATGCGTGGTTTTACACTTCAGTTAGACTTCGGTGGAAAAGCTTGATGGGATTCTTTTGACTTGATTGAAATTAAATATACATGTATATATGTATAACATATTTATTGGTATATGTTTGTGTGTATGTGATGTTGAATGTTCATTGGCTCGGCACTAGTAAGATCAGTAACAGCAGCAGCGGCACCACTAGACAAGAGGCAAAGTTCGAAGAACAGACACCGAAAAGAAGTAGAAGAAGAAAGAAATAACACATACAAAATGAAATACAAACATAAAAAAATGCGAACAAAATACACACATCTAACATTACATCTTGAGCCGTTTGAAAAAAAAAGCGCAACTCACGTTCCAAAATAATTGGGGAGAAAAGTTTTTTTTCCCTCGGTGATATTGTTGTTGAGGATAATATCAAGTCATTCCATGTATCAAAATCAATAATCTGTATAAATAAGCGTGTATATCGATATCAACATCGGCTTGATAAAAATAACTTTTTGTTTTTATTCGGATACAGGCAAGTCTTGCGTATAATTACGGGCTGTAGAAACTTTTCAGCGATTATATCATGTCTCTGAAAATAATCGGTGCTACTTTAATCCAGCGATAGACAATTCCAGCCGCTTTCCTCATACACCGAAAGCACGGAACAGATCAACGCACACGAGCACATACACATACGCACCACTTCAGCCATTTTAGTGGCAATTACAAAACAAAACCAAGAAAGACGCATCAACTCGGGGCATGTGTTGGCCAAAATTGGCACATAAGTGTGGTATTGTAACACGTGAGCCTTTTTAGGTTATAAAATGAACGCGTTGCCTTTTGCATAGATACGCTGAAGCGCACCCAAATTCAAGTTGTGTGCTCGTCGCTGTCGCTCGTCCATTCATTCGGTGTATCGGCAGCAATCTTGCTCGTTTTGGAATTGTGCACGCGCGCTCGCACATTGTTCGAAGCAACGTTCGCTGTGAGAACAAATTCCGTTGTCGTTTTCATTCGATTGTGCACAGTTTGGTTGATTTTGCCTACATTTAACAATTGATTTTGTACGTCGGTCGTGTCGTCCTGACAAGTTTGTTTTGGGCATTTTTTTCTCTTCTTCTTCTTCCTTTCTCCCTTTGTATATGTTCTCTTTTTGACAAGTCGGATAATTTCGATCGAGAGATCAAGTGTTCTGCATCAAAAAATATATATAATTTTTGCCACAGTGCGATTGGCATCGATAGAGAGCTCTTGTTGATGGCTCACGTCAATATCGAATGCCTTGCTCTTATTG